TTCTGCCTGAAAAGACCTGCCCCCTTCCTCCACTGGGCAAGAAACGAACCCTACTTGTGGAATTGTGAGCTTCACAGTTCTTTCTAAGTCTAGTTCAAATGCCCGGGGGATGGCAGCCAGCCCCGCCTTCCCCCTCTGCCACGCTGGTCATGTTCATCTCTGCGTTGTCTACAAGGTGGGATGTTATGGTGGTTACAAGCCTGGGCCTTTGGAGGCTGCCTGGGTTCAAATCTGGCAGTGAGACTGCGGACAAATGACTTAACCCGTCCTGGCCTCACTTTCCTCATCTATCAAATGGGCATAGTAATGGCACCTCACTCAGATTTCTGAGGATTGAATGGGCCAGTGCCCCTGAGGCATGGTGAACGGCTCCTGGCACACAGTAAGGGCTGTGTGCTCTCGTCATTTCCGCCTTATATGTCTGTCTCGCTCACAGGCACTGGCAAGTGTCTCACTCCTGTCTGCAGACCCAGCACCCACAGTGGAGGCAGGCACACAGTAGGTACCCAAAAAGCGTTTCATAAGAGAGTAAAGGAGTCCGTGGTCCTGGGATGGGTGGCAGGTTAAGTGGACTCAGCCTGATCCTGAGTGCGGAAAACAGATGAGCAGGTCGTGGGGTCCCCAAGAAGATGGACTCCAGACAGGACAAGGCTGGGGTGGCCCCCGTTTGATCTCCTAAGACAAGCGATCCCCAGGGTAGACCACAAAACCCAACCTCCCTTCCACACGGCTCTCAGGCACACCTGCCTCTCTTCCCAAATCCTTCCTTGTTCATTCATTTCACAGATGATCAGTGTGTGTGGAATTAAGTGAGGCGCTAGGGACAGAGCAACAAGGAGCAGCTCAGCTAATCTGTGTCCCACGTTACGTACAGCCTCGTAGGGGAACCGGGAGGAATCGAGTAAATGGCTATTCCCAAATATGCTAGAGTCTCTGAAGTGCCCTCAGGATACAGATCTGCAGAGTGGGGTTGACCTGGAGAAGCAGCCCTAGGGCCCTCGCCAAGGTGGTGACATTTTAGGAGTTGAAAAGGGACAATGGTGTCACTAGCTGAAGGGTCTCCAAAGCCAGACACCTCAGGGCCAACCTTCATTCATTTCTCCCTCACTCCCCTCACCCCTTCTCTTTCTAGAGGAAAGAATTGGGGCAGTGAGACAGTAGGGTCTGGCTGGACCGGCGAGTCCTCAAGAGAGGGCGTCAGCACCTTGGATAGCGCATGTGGGGTGGGGCAGGGGGGTTGGCCGTCACCTGTTTCTCCCGTGCCAGGTCGGGCTGGGCTGCGTGGGGTCAGAAACACCAGCACTAGCCACTTGCCCACCGTCATCAGTTCCTTTACCAGCTTCAGAGAGCCTTGGACAAGTTCCATCCCCTGTGAGGGCCCCCGTTCCCCCCTTCGACACATTTGCGGTGGCACTGGCAGACTTGCTTTGAAGGGCCCTTCCAACTCAGTGAATCCATTCTGGAACGGAGGATGTGACTGCACGCCATTCAGCAGAGCTGAAAGCTGATCTCCTGGGATCTTGGTGCCCTGGGGGAGTTCATGACAGTTATTTCCCATGGAACGATGGAGAAATGAGGACGGAAGAGACAGGACATTAAATGCGTTCATGTTCATTTGGGCTGAGTACTCTGCTAAGCCTGGTTGCTTCCAGGGGAATTTAAAACACAGTGCTTGCTCTCCACCCTCCGAGTGGCACCTTGGACAGATCTCTTCCCACCCTTGGGCCGTAGCTCCCCATCTGTGAAGAGAGGTCGTTGGCTCCAACCCCCTTCCACACAGGCATTTTGCTATTACTGTGTCAGTTTGAGGTCGGATAGGACGGACTTCTAGCTGGGGGCCTGCTGGGCCTGCTGAACCTTTGTAACTCACATTCATTGCAGGTTCAGAGAGGAGAAGGTACTTGTCAACAGTCACACAGCTTAAAAAAAAAAAAAAAGAAAGAAAAGAAGACTGACAGACACAGCTTGTAATCAGTGGAGCCTGGATTGGAACCTTTGACCGCAAGACTGCAATAAGAGTCCTCCCCGCTAAGCCTGTATCCACAGGAGAGACCGACCGAGGAGCCTCGCATAATGTACAGAATCCCAGACCAGAAGGGGCAGGCAGAGCTCAGTCTTCAAGCTTAGGAATTACTCCATCCTCCTCCCGCCTGGTTTCTTCATGTGTTCCTTGCTGTGTGCCTGGCTGGGTGCTGGGGGCCAAGGCTCTGGGATGAAAGTAGACTCAGTCCCCACCTGCACTGGGTCTCAAGGTTAGCTGGGGAGACCCTGACAACATAAAGTGACAAGCCCGGGGAGAGAGAGATCAGCAGCCTGTTGTGCGGTCATGGGGGGAGCAAGGCCTGTGCCTGTGAGGTCGTGGGATGCTTCCCAGAAGGGGTGCATTTGAAAGACAAGTGGGATACTCAGTAACCAGGAAACAGCAAGGAAGGGCATCAGGCCAAGGGACCAGAATGTGTGAAGCCATGGCACAGAGTCATGGAACAAGGATGCAGGCTGGGAAGGAGAGGTCAGAACTGGCCAGCCTGCAAGGTGCTACTTAGCCCACAGACGGCTGTAAACGTGTTAAAATGTAAATGTCAGTATTGAAAGCCTAGGAGATTTTATTTTGAAATTCTGATTTTCAGTTTCCCTGAACTTTCTGGAAGATCTGAGCCCACATTCTCCATGGCAACAATTGGCCAGAGCTGAAGAATGGTTGGTTGCTTCTGGCTGCTTCGCCCATTTATGTCATTTGAGTGGGTCCTGTAGACCTTCTGAGGTAGTATTCTCCAATCTGTGGCATCAGGGGCTTCCCCCTCCCTCTGTCCCCACTCCCTGCCAGCTAGTGACTAGCCCCAAAGTAAAGATACTGGAAGATGGAAAGTGCGTTGGGTGGTGGTGGCCTGGGGGGTGCTCCTCATGCAGGGGGACGGAGCTCCTTACTCTTCGCTGTAAATGGCTCTGGGCCCCAAGCCCCTCCCGGGAGGCTTCTAGTCCTTGGTGACAAACCCACCTCTGGATCCAGGTGACAAGCAGCCTGATCTTGACTCAAGGAAGGATAGGGATCATGGCCTTTCCTCTTCCATCAAAATGCATGACCGCTTTCTCTCTGTTCCAGCAGACTCTCCGGGGTTGGCCCCGTTGGCAATGGTGGGAGCAGCTACGATCACTTTTAAATATTCATTTAGAAAAAGAATCAAACCTTTCTGCAATCAAATATTTGCTTCTAGATTTTTTCTTTTTAAATCCGAACACCTAGATCTTGGCAACATTCACTTCCAAAGAATGCAACTGTTTCAGTGGTTGGGGCCAAAACAAACATTTTTCCCAAGGCCAAATGGTTCCAGAATGTTTGCCAATTATTTCCCACTCTTTAAAAAACACACTAAAATTAGTAAAGCACTAGCATTAAAGAATATCCAAGGCAGAAAAAACATCAAAGCACAAAACCCCACGACCACCCTCCAAATCAGCACAGCCGTCCTCCCCTCTGCCCGTGGCTTTCCAGGCTTTGCCATGAGGAAGAGCTGCTTTGGGAATAGAGGAAGGATAGTGAGCCATCTGTCTTTAGAGGTATGCAAGCAAGGGCTTGGCTTCACCAGAAATTCCCACCTCAGTGGGGCTGGCTACGAAGAACCTGTCTGACCCCAAAGGACGACAAGAATGTCTGAGCCTCCGTTAGAGCTCAGAGTAGAAGAACCGACATGGAACACAGGTCGTTAATGAGGAAGTGTGGGATCAGGAAAGGTCCATCAGCTGCTTATCCTCGCTGAGCGTCCATTCCCTCATCTGTAAAATGGGTGCTAGCTACTTCACAGGCTCGTGAGGCTAGAATCAAGTAGGGTAGAGACCTTGAATGCTAGGTGGCTATTGGTTTTCTCTCTGGACCCCCAGCCCACCCACCGCGCCCGTCTCTCTTCCTTGTTTCTCCCTCTGCTTCCACCTCCCCTGATCCGTCGTTGAACTTCTGTCTCAGGTCAAGCCATCATTCTCCTTGGCTCGTGGTCTGATGGCCAAGCTGGAGAGTCCCACTGGGGCAGGTGCTCCAAGATGAGGGAAACTGCCAAGGGCCTCAAAGAGATGTGGGGTGCTTCCTGTAGGAGGGGAAATGCGAGCCAGGCCCTGAGGGTTTGACTTACAGCAGGTACAAGGACATGTTAGCAGGTCGCAGCGTGGGGTTGGACACCGCTCCTGTGTGTTGGAGATGTTAAGGAGGCATTTGAGTGAAGGCAGGGAGCAGGCTTCCGGGAACCCAGGGAGACGGGAGTGAGCATGTTAGACAAGGACCAGCTCCCAGCCCTTCTGCTTGCCCAGGCCCCCAAGAGCAGCGGGCAGCGGCAGGCGGTGGTGGGGTCTCTCCCTTTTTGCCCTGGGTCAGGGCGCTGCCCGGACTCCCTTTGGGCACACCCACGCACTCACTCTCAGTTCCTGTGTATGCCTGTTCTCCTTCTAACCCTCCACCAGCTCTTTGAGCACGTGGAGACACTGGTTCAGGGAAGCCTGGTGGGTGGGTAAGTGGAGAGGTGGTGACGGGCTGGCTGGGTGGATGGGTGGGCACGGGAGGGAGAGGGACGGGAGGCTGGAGGGTTGGGTGAGTCCGTGGGTGTGGCAGCAGGCCGGGCAGTGGGCAAGTGGTTGGGTGAGGTGGAGGGCGGGTGAGTGGGAGGCTAGGCGGGTGTTTCCGGAGGCAGGGACATGTGGCTACGGGAAGTCGGGCGGCTGGGGGTGTGAACGGGGTGGGAGGAGGGTGAATGGTGTGTTGACAGGGGGAAGGTGCATGCGTGGGTTTGGGACTGTGGGCGGGAAGCGGTCAGAGTGGGGTCGTGGGCACATTGGTGGGTGGGAAGTGGATGGCAGTGGGTGTTGGCGGATGGATGGGGTGGGCGGGTAATGGGGACAGGATGCTGAGCTGGGACGTGAGCGGCAGGCCGCTGGCTGTGGGTTGACAGATGGGTGGGCAGTGGGTGCGTGGAGGGAGGAAGGCGGCCGTGAGTACTGACCAACGCGTCTCTTGGCAGGACACCATCCACACATGGGAGATTCCTGGCCCCGGAGCTCCACACAGGAGGTCCCCGAGCTGAACCGCCAGTGCTGGGTCCTGGGGCACTGGGTGTGACCAAGACCCAGCGTGGCCCCCAGACTTCAGGCTGTCATCGGAAGCGGCCCCCACGCCACAAGACCACGGGTCTGGTGCCCCTGGAGAGTTGGCCTGTGTGCTGTGAACTCAGCCAGCCTGTGTAGGAGACACAGGCCTGCCCTTCCCACCACTGCCTGGGGCTCAGGGCCCTGGACACGGAACCAGGGTGGCCTGAGGCATGCACGGGGCTGCACATGGCGACTTTGGGACAACGACTCCTGACTTTTGCCACCGTCACACACGGCGCCCTGTCCAGTGCAGCCAGGATGCCACGGAAGACACAGTCGTTGGCCCCGGAAAGCGGGCCGGGAAGTTCAGGGGGTGTCAGGCGGCGCAGAGCCCTGCCCGAGGCAGGGAGTGGGTGGGGCTTCCTGGCGCTGGCACCATAGTGGGGGCACAGAGCAGGCACACAGCAGGGGCACAATAAATGCTTGTTGAACCTGTTTTCTTGCTATGTGTGGAGGCCAGTTGCTCTCTGGGCTGTGGCTGCCACCCACGGCCCCACCCTATCAGGTCCTCAAGGACCCTGAAGGTGAGACAGCCTGAGTGTGCTGGGGTCAGGGCCAGACACTGAGGTGCCCAGAGTGGAAGCTGGGTCTGGGGGGTTGGGGTCAGCGCGGAGCCAGGCTGACATGCTGCCTTGGATTCCAGAAGTGTGCAAGGTAGGGATGGGACAGGCAGGTGGGAAACTTGGAAGACAGGGCCTCAAGCCCAGGCCCTAAGCTGCCCTGACCCCATGGGGATCCTTGACCCCATGTCTAGAGGTACCTTTATGTGGAGTCCTGGGGCTTAGGTGCCTAGAGAAACATCCCTATTATAAAGATGAGGGAACTTAGGGTCACAGAGATGAAGTAACCTGCTTAAGATAACAGAGCTAGTGAATGGCAGAGATGGGGTCAGAACCAGGACTTTAAGAAGTCTCATTCCTTTCCAGATGGATTTCTAGAGCTTTCCCCCAAGTAGAGAATGTTCTTCAGACTTCCATACGTCTATCCATCACCAACCCATTATCTATCCTCCATCCTCCATCATTCATCCATCATCTGCCAATCCATCCATCCATCCATCCATCCTCCATCTATCCATCCATCCATTCATCCAACCATCCATCCTCCATTCTCCATCCATCCATCATCCATCATCCATCCATCCATCATCTATCATCCATCCATCCTCCACTTACCAGGTATCATCCTTCCTTATATCAGATGTCCATCCATCTTCCTTCCTTGTATGACCATCCTCATCATTTAACTCCATGTATCCATCTATCCTATGATACAGTTCATTGTGCCCCTACTATGTGCCAAGCACTGCTGTGAGCACTTGAGATAAGATATTGAGCCAACCAGATGGGTGTCTGTCCTCACAGAAGGGCGTGACAGAGAACTAGACAGATGGCAGTTGCATGCTGTGTGGCATGCTTGGCGCCCAGCTCTGGGGCCAGGCAGCCTGGACTTAGATTCCTGCCACCCCCACTTGAGACCTTAGGCAAGTGACCTAACCTCTCTGTGCCTCATCTCCATGGGCACATGGGGATAATCATTATACCTACCTCGTACAGCTGTCCTGAGGGCTAACTGAGCTAATGTACGTGAGGCATTTAAACAGAACCTGGCACATAGTGCTTTGTTGGTGTTTGCTCTCATCTTGATGGGGGAAAGTTAGGGGCTCTGGGGTCTTAAAGGCAGCACCTGCTGGGGGAGGGAGGAGGTGGCAATGGTCAGGAAGACTCCTTTGGGAAAAAGATGTTTAAGCCAATACATGAATACATGAAGGTTGTCTAGCTGTCAGGCAAGAGGGAGACTGTCAGAACATTACAGGAACCTTCCAGCAGCCTAGACTGTAGGTATGGAGAGAAGGGAGGGCCACAGGGGGTGCGAAATCCGGCTGCAGATGAGGTCGGGGGAGCTGGGCCAGAGAGACACAAATCTTCCCTAGGAAGTTTGGACTTTATCCTGGGGTGCACCCCACTGTGCATTCCAGAAGGATTTCTGCCGCCTCTTCCCTCCCAGGCTCAGAGGGAGAGGAGAGGGTGGTCTGGTGCACACAGTGCCCCAGGAATGGGACAATGAAGGCAGATTCAGCTAGTCCAAAGGGAAAGTCAACAGACTGACGTGTAGAGAAAGTTGGCAAAGACTCTCCGATTCTGGGCTTAGGTCAGGGGCGGGTCCGGATAGCTTGGGTCTCAGGGTCCAGGGGACACCCACATAGCGACGTGTGCTCATTTACTCACGCATGCATTGACTGATCAAGTGATTCATTAATTCATTTTCCATTCACTCAGTAAATATTGTGCACCTACTGTGTGGGGCAGGAGACTGGTCTGGGAGGAGGATCAGGGCCCACTGACAAAGATCTCGAACATCAGAACAAGGAGTTTGGGCTTTGGCTCCTGGGGCTGGGCTCCCAGGTCACCAGGCATCCTAAGGCTCTATCCTCAGCCAGGGTTCTTCTGTAGTTGGCGGCTGGACCACCAAAGTCCAGGAGAGATGATTTTAATTGACATATGGGCAAAAATTTAATCTATTTTAAAATAGTTGTGTTTATGTCAATGTGTATTAGGAAAAATTGTATAACGGGCACCTTAGTGTCATGATTTCACAGACGCTGTTGCTTAGGACGAAACCAAAATAGGCATTTAAGTAAAAAGACAAAGAACTGGTTTGAAGAAACATACTCAATAAATAATCGTGCAAGTGGTATGTGATTACGGTATGCGAACGGCCTAGTGAAGGCCTTTCTAACCCCCTGATCAGTCCATCCATCAGTCGTCCCGTCCCTCTGGGCACCTGTCGGGCAGAGAGGGTGAGCCCCAGCTGTCTTCCCGTCCTGCGGAGCCAGCAGCAAGAAGGCTGCTGGTGAGGGGAAAGGAAGCTTTGTCTGGCCGGCCGAGGCCCAGTCCCAGTGGCTTCTGCTGAGTGTTCCTGGGAGGGTGGTCTGCACGCAGGGAGGAGGGAAGACCACATGGGCTGAAGGCAGGAGGCGTCTGGGTGCCCACACCCAGCGTCCCCGCATCCACGCTCCCGGGGCTCCTGTGTCCATGTCAACCCCAACAAGCCTGAGTTGACGCTTGGTGCTCTGTGCGCGCCCACTGGCCCCGAGCACGTGCCCCAGCTGGTCCAGGACATGGACAGGCTTGCGCGTGCCTGGTGGCCTGCCGTGGGGGTGTGCCTTCTTGTTGGCTCACATCGCCCCCTCTTCCCAGGGGAGCCGTGGGGGCCCCAGCCCAGGGCTAATGAGCAGGCCCAGGCCTCAGGAAGTTGTAGAGCTGACCTGCCTCTTTGGCTGGTGGCTGTGATGCGCAGTCGTCCCCGCCACCCTCACCAAAGCCAGCCTCTCCTGGCCACACCCTTGTCTCCACAGGTAACGGAAGCGGCAGCTTGATTCCCGGGCTTCCCTTCACTGCAGCCAAGCCTGATTTGTCGCACGGGGGAGGCTTGTCCCCCAGGAGGAGGTGAGGACCGAGGAAGGTGTCAGAGGCCGTGGAGTTAGTTCAAATCCCGAGACTTCCACAGACCTGCTGTGGGTCCCATTTGTCCCTGAACTGCTCACGGAGGGGAGGGCTCCCGTGGGCCAGGCACGACAGTGCAGGGGCACCACCATGGTGGGTCAGGAGGACACAGTCCTCACCCTCACGGAGTTTGTATTCCAGCAAAGAGACAGAGACGACTCAAATTATTCCAACAACAAAACTATCACTTCCAAGCGGGAGGAGTGCTATGTAAGCCAACCCAGAGAAGGCCTGATTCATGCTGGAATGGAGAGGGTGGGCCTCTCAGGAAGGGCCAGCAGGGACTGAAGGAAGCAGCAAGGGAGTATGGATAGAACCCACAGCATGTTCAAAGGCCCTGGGGTTGAGAGGAATGTGGGGTGTGGGCTGTGACAGGACACAGCACTTGGAGCTCGAGGTGGGGGCATGAAGTCTGCTGCTGAGCCATTGGTCTTCAGGGGTTGGAGCCTGTGGGGTCTGCGGGTGATGGCCAGGAGTGTGGCCTTCACCTGGAAGGCCACAGGGAACCACGGGCAGGAGGATTTTCAGAGGAGGACATGGCAAGTTCCTCCTGGCTGTATTGGGCCAAGGCCTGGGAGATGGGGTGCAAGGCAGAGGCAGGGTGAACAGGGGGGCTGCGGCAGGTCCTGGCAGGTGACAGTGGGGGGCTCAGGCTGCGGGGGGTACCAGGGATGAGCTAACCCACCCCCATGCAGCCTGGGGATGGGTGAAGGCATGAGGCACACCAGAGCTCGGCTGGCTGTTCTCTGAGGCTCCTGTCTGGGCTTTGATGCTGCACAGACGGGGACATGGAGGGCCACTTGGGGCCATGGCAGGAATCGGGGGAAATGTCATCTGAGCGGATGAGTTAGAAAAGCGCCTGACCTCCAACCACAGGCGCTGTGGCCCCGGGGCCCATGGCTTGGCAGGGGGGGCTGGAGTTTAGTGCCACTCACCCCTCACTCTGGGGCTGTGGCCAGTGAACAGATCGCACCGCCACACGGGTGGACGGCCCCGCTGTGGGACTGAAGACAAACTCAGCCCAGCCAGGGACCATCAGTCATGAGGAAAAACCAATCTCCTCCGTGTGGGGATTTACTGCCTGGACAGACAGGAAATCCCGGCGCGGGACCTCTGCCCTGTCCCTGGCACTGCCCAGCCCACGACACCCTGGTAATAGCTTTTGGGGACACATTTCATCCTGGGCTGACACCAGCGAAGCCTCCACCTACGGGGAAGCCCTGGCAGGGGAGTGGGCCTCTGCCAGGAGGGGGCTGGGCCGAGGGGGACTGGGGACGCCCTGGGATGCCAGGGGGAGTGGGAAGGGGGCTTCTGTGTGGGAACAGTTCCACCGCATGAGGCTGAGCTCGCAAGTCCCTGCACCAAGCCCACCCCCCACCCGTCCTCGGGCCCTCCTGATCCCCCCCGAACCTGGAAATGGCCAGAGTGAGTGTGGGCGGCCTGGGGGCACAGGGTGGGCTGGGGAGAGAGGCGAGCGGTGGGCAGAATGAAAGAGCAGAGGCTGAGACCTCCACTTGTGCTCCTAAGCCAGTGCCCCTTGATGGTCCAAGGAGCCAGCGGAGGCTGGGAGATCGCCCTGAAGGTCAGGAGGGGCCAGTGGAAGGTGGGGCGGGTTTCTCTGGCGGGGAGCCCGGGTACGGAGCTGGGAGCCCCAGCTCAGCCCCAAGGACACTGTTTTGTTATGAAAGCCTCACTGTGCACAGCTGGGGCCCTATGGCCGGGAGCACAGCCCCACCCCTGCCAGATGCACACACCTGGGCACACTCCAAGGCCGCCTGGGCTGTGCAGGTGACATGGGTGAGGGACACAGGCAGGGCCCAAGACAGAGGGGCCAGGAGTGACGGGGACAGGCGCTGCCCGTTCTTGGAGAGAAACGGGGGGTTGTCCAGACCTCTACAGTCAGCCAGATCTAAGTGGGCTGAGTCACCAGACACTCCTTTGAAGGGGGTTTTAGGCAGGTTGGGAGCTGAGGATGTGGCGGCAAACAGGCAGAGGGCTGGGGCAGCCGCCACCTGTTAAAGTGCAGAGACAGCCTCAGCAGGCTCCGGGGGGGACCATCGGGGGCCTTCTGCGGTCGTGGCGCCCATGCAGAACTGTCTGGAGACCAACGAACACTGTCTGGAGAACTGTCTGGAGACCAACGAAGGAAGAAGGTCCTTCCCACTGCTGGACAGAGGAAGCGGGTCTCCCCAGGGACAGAGGCCAGAGGCCGCTCTTCCTTAGCCCCCTTGTCAGCTGTGGCCTGGAGCAGAACCCCAAGCCGGGTGCCAGCCTGTCCCCACCCACCCCATCCCACCAGCAGGACAGGACAGTGACAGCTTCGGATAATTCCTGCCCAGTGCCAACGTGTGGGGTGGAAAGCATGACGCCCAGGGGAAGGCCTCTGTTCTCCCACGGTGGCTGAGGGTGGGGACTGCCACCTCCCACATGCCAAGGTCACTGCACCCGAGCCCTGCCTTTGTGCCCTGGGGGGTCTGAGGATCCAGGAATGATCCCCTCCCTCCTCTGACTTCCCAGGGAGGAACCAGCTCTGGGGTGTTCGTGGAGCCACAGGCTGGTGGGGGGAACCAGGAAGGGAGGGGATGCTGGGGTTATGCGGGCTTGGTAACTGGTTTGGCTCACTTGGTGTTTGCTTGGTCTAGTTGAGCCAACATTTACAAGTGAAATTTCACATTAAAAATAGATAAAACACCTCGATTTCTGGCTTTTCTTAAAATCCTTGAAGGTCTGGTAACCCTGGGACATTGTTGCTGAATTCCAGCTGTCCCCCAGAAGGGACATGCTCTGTGCTGCTGACCAGGTCCTTCAGGTTTGGCTTTGCTCCTGGACTGCAGACCAGGGCTTGGCTGGGGGCTGGGAGGCGGATCATGGCCCTGAATCTGGGCTGCCCCACCGGGCCTCCCACCCCACACAAGGAATACTGAATGGCCTTGCCTGCCCTCCAGCATCTCCGGGCCAGAGATGCCACCACGGAGGGAAGTTGAGGAGGCTTGCCAACACCAAGGGGGCCAGAGTGACTCTCCCCTTTGCCTGGGACAGAGGAGAGAGATGGGGTTTTTGAAGGGTCCGCTTGCTTACCCCAGTGAGCTGTACCCCAGAACTGGCGCCCCCACCCCTACCAAGTGAACCTTCTTCCCTCCCCAGGGCTGATGCTCCCAGACGCCCATGCTCACCTCTGAAGGAACCTGGGGAGTGGCCCAGGAATTGGGCATCTGGGGGCTCGGCTGCTAGGATCCATGTAAGCCTAAGGGAAACCCCAGGGCCAAAGACCCAGGGATTTCACCTTGTCTCAGCTCTCCTGTGGTCACCCCGGGATTTGTGCACTAATGGCTTCCAAAACTGCGTGACTTGGGCAAGTTACTCAACCTCTCTGGGCCTCAATTCTCTCATCTGTGAAGGGAGGATCATAATAGTGCCTAGAAGGGTTGTGACATGGGTTCAGTGAGATGGTGCCAGACACGAACTAACTACTGCATCGCCCCCGATCATAACCCCCTCTGCAGGTGGGGAAAAGGAAGCTTAGAGAGGGGACTGGGCCCCGTGTCATCCCAGCAGCCTCCAGTGATCTCTGCCTCTGTTCTGGGAGGCAGCACGGGCCCCCTCTGCCTGACCCCAAATCCAGCACATCGGCCCACAGTCTTAATAACATCTTTTATTGATTTTGCGGGAGAAAAAAAATAGAATTTATTTTACAGTTAATGCCTGTACAGCTTTCTTCCCCTCCTCAATTGCATGGCGCCACAGTCATTATCAAGAGCAGTGGGGGTTCTGGGAGCGAGTGGGGGTCTGACCTGTGCCCCAGCCTCGTGTGGGGACAGACAGCCGGGCTGCTTTTAAGTGGCGGCACCAGCTTCGGTCCCTAAGAGCTTGATCAGCCCCGTTTCCCCGGGCCTCAGCTCTTCTGAGAGCCCAGAGGCCATGTCTGGGAGGTGAGCACAGAAGCCGGGGGCCCTGGAAGCTACAGAGATGATGGATCTTCTGCGGGAGAAACGGTTCCTTATCTTCCCATCGGCCCCATGCTCCAGATGAAAAGCGCATTTGCATAGCTGCTCTGCTGAAGCTGCAAAGCTCATAAAAGTATTTGCGGGGCTCTCGGTTGCATAGGAACCTACTTGGAGTACAGTGCTGCGGCGGGGCCGGGCGGGCGCCAGGAAGACAGCGGATTAATATTTGCAACGAGAAATTACCCACCACTGGGAAACCAATTAGATCCCTGATCCGAGCTTGTTACATCGATGGAAATAGATACGTTCTGAGCTTCACTCGGCTGGGGGTGCAGGGCACATTTCCAACCCAAGGGGAAGCTGCTGCGGGGGAGGGGGCCTAGGCAACAGGCACCTCTCGGCGTGACTGCAGGGGCACCTGCTCCGAGGACTGAGGAAGGGAGGAACCAGGAACCGGAGCAGCAAGCAGGAGGAGCCTGAGCTCAGACCAGAGGGAGGGGCTGCCCGCCTCCAGACAAAGTTCCAATGGAAGGGGAGGTGGACCCTGGGGCTCGAGGGGTAGGTTGGGGGCCTGGTCCTCGGCCTGCAGCCCTGCTGGCCGTCTGGGGTGTGAAGCTGCCCACCGCCCGTCCTATGTGGGCCTGGAAGCACAGCAGGTGCGCATGGCTCCCTTTCTTCCCTCTGCGACACACACATCCCTGGGCGGTCCGTCTTCCTCGCCTGGGATGAAGGAAGGGGCTGGAGCAGTCCTGGCTAGACTTTCAGGGTACCAGGGAACAACCCCACCCTCTAAGCCGGCTCCACCAGCCACCAGATGAGGCAGGGATGCGGCGGGGAGGGGAGCTGTTTGCACCTGCACTCGGGGCCTTCCCTGGTGCCCCCCACCATGTTGGTGTTGGTGGCTGAGGCCCCCTCCCCACCGTTCCGCTGGGCCCTGGGTGGCCACACTCTGCAGGGAGGGGAGGCCCCCGCAGGCCACCTCACCGTCCCAGCCTGAGGTGGCCCAGTGGGTTTGTGGGCACAGACGTTGGTGCCTGGGGCCCTGCTCTGCTGGAGCCTGCAGGAGACACCAAGCTGAGGCTCTTGGGAGCGCACCCCGAAGCTGAGGGGCAGAGGGGGGCCGTGTCACACGAGTCCCCTCTCATTCCCCTCTCGCAGCCCCTGGAGTCCAGGCTGCCAAGGCTGAGGATGGGGGCAGAAGACACAGGTGCTGGGTTGAGGCGGGTGACAGAGGCCGCCGCTGGCTGGGAGGACCAGCGCTCCCTCCTCCGCGGGTCAGCACCGCCATCGTCGCACTATCTCCTTCTCGCTTATGCACGTTTTGGGTCGTAAGGCTGTCAAGGGAGAGAACAGAGAGGAGGCCATTACCCAGCCTCAGTCCCTGAGGGTAGCCCCACACCTGGGCTTGCAGGGGGGTGGGGATATCCAAACTGCCTGAATTGCCGGCCCAGGGCACCGCCCCTGAGCGTGGCACCCAGACAGGCTGACCCGTTGCCGCCCTCCACCCACCCTACACGACCGCAGCAGGCTCCGCCACGCTGTTCCCTCTGCCCAGCCAAGTCCCCGTACGTCTTAGGGTGCAGCTTGAACAGCACCTCCTCTGGGAAGCCCTCACCCCGGGCATCCTCCACTGCTTTCCCACGGCACAGGACAACCCCCTCCATACGGCACGTCTGCCCTTAGCGGCCTCTTCCGTCTGCACCCCGAAGCCTGGCTCCCAAGAAACCACACCGAGCCACAGGTGCCTTCAGGAAGGGCACCTGTTCTGCCCCCGCAGCCCCCCGGGGAGAGAAGAGGGGTCGGAGGGGCAGGCAGGGCCGGGTGTGGGTGTGGGATGCTGCCAGCTCCTTGTCTACACAGCCTGGAGTCCCGAAGGCGACACTCTGGGCGGGGCAGCGAAACTGACCTGGGTCAACCAGGCTCTGCTTCCTTTTCGAGTTGGTGATGATCTGGTTTTCATTCATCATCTGGACGTCCTGATCCTCCACCTGATTGCTGCGGGGAGGGAGAAGGCAGAGGGCTCGACCCTTGCCGTCCGTCCTCATTGGGGACAGTGAGGCGAGGCCACGGGCCCGGCTTACCTGATGGCGGTGTGTCGCTCCTGGCGGCAGATGTCCGTGTCCTCGGTGAAGAGGATGGTGTGGTAGGGCACCGTGGGCTCACACGTGGGCAGGATGCCCCCCACCAAATGGCCCACCATGGCCAGGATCCCGTTGTACACAAGCAAGTCGTCCACGAGGAGCTGGCGGACACAGAGTAGGGGCTGCGCTGTGGGGCCAAGAGTTTCCCCCTCCTTCCCTCCTGCGGCCTTGGGCAAAGCGAGTTACCACTGGGAGCCTCGCCAGCTAGCCTGGCCTGTGCTGGGATCTCAGGCCCTCGGAACCTGGGATCGGCCGCCGGGGGCCTCGCGCACCCCGCCCTAGAGTCGCCTCCCAGAGGGAAGGACCGCCCTAGACCAAGATGCTTGGAAAAGAAAAGATGAAAGAAAGGCCACTTTCTGGTTTTCAGGGGGGTGATTCAAATCACTGGGGGCAGGTTTGGGATTCACGGTGGGGTGGCGAATTTCCCTGCCTCGGAGCACCAGGCATTGGTGTCTAAGGTGGCAACAGAGAGAAGCAAATCCAACTGCGACAAATGATAATTGCCAGCAGCCTAATTACCAACGAGCACAATTATCTCGAAAAACCCAGCTGATAAGTACTCACGCCAAACTCTTTCACCCCTCGATGGGGCGTTTTCGCATAATTCCACAGTTTGATCATTGACACGGTGGTGGGCAGATCGAAAATCACATAAACCCGGTTCACCTGTCGGGAACGAGAACTCATGAGAACAGGCATGTTTCGAAACAGAGGCGCCGGGAGGGGGGCGCGGGGTGCAGGCAGGGGTGAGCCCGGTGGGCGTTGGAGGCGGCACCCAGGCAGCTGGGGGGGGGCACAGCGCGTGGGTTTCCCGCTGCCTTCCCTCTCGTGGAAGCCCATCTTGAGTCAGGTCACGTGTGGCTGCATTCACAACAAACCACCGACTGGCTCTGGGAGGCCTGTTTCCTTGCGCCTGGCGTGGTGGCCCTGATTTAAATCCCCGCAGAGCATTGGTGCCCCCCTCCCTCTCCCCAGGGTCCAGCCAGACACCCAGCGCGGGGCTTCCCTGGGCCGAGGGGGCAGCCCTGCCCCCCGCAGAGTCAAGGAGCGCTGTCCCCCCTGGGCAGTCAGCACCGCCTTGACCCCGATCTGTCCTTTCTCGGGTTGTAAATGAGAAGCATAGCAGATAGGCCCTGAAGGTGCTGCTGGGTAATTTCCAGCCTGTGTCTTTGAACCTCTGCAGGGGGAGCAGGAGGGGGTTGTCCAGATCAGTGGCAGAATCAGCTAGTAAGGTGAGACTGGCAGCTCCTCCGTCCCCCCACCCCGCCGCCCCAACAGACTCCCCCATATTAGGGGGCTCCTGGCAAGACGGAAGAAAGCAACGAGCTTTCAGTGTCGGCCACAGACTGTGGGCTCAGTTCTGCCCCAGGCCCCGGAGGATGTCGGGGATCGCAGGGGTGGGGTGCTGCAGTTGGAGTCAGCCTTCCAGCTGTACCGTGGAAATAGTAAAGGCCCTCGAGAACAGCTGCCCACGGGGCTCAAGCAGGTACAAATGTCTGAGTCCAGCTGGGAGAGTGACAGCTGCAGAAACTGCCTCTCACCGAGTCACGTGACAGATGACGGAAACCACCTGCTGGCAGAGCTCAAGATGGCCATAGACAGGTGGGGCCCCGGTCTCAGGGGAGCTGTTGGACACTTGGGGCTCGGGGACGGAGACACTGGAAAACCTCCCACACAGAGCTGCTAATGCTGCTCCTTTCCGTGTTTTGAGAGGAAAATACCCTCCCTGTCCTCCTGTGCAGTCACACGGAGGGAAAGGGGACACTCTGCCGGTCACACACATGCCCTAGGGCCTGCTGCACTCCTCCACCCAGCATCTAGCTGGCACGGGGCTAGAACCCCGTCGCCACCCAGCCAGTCTCCTCTCTCTTGACCAACATCGCCAGGCCCGGGGGGACGGAGCACCCCCCCAGGACCCCAAGTGACAAGTAGCAGCTGGAGGGTCTGAGATCTGGGAAACTGAGTCCCCTGAAGAGCTGATAGGCCAGAGACAGGGCCAGGACGGGGTCCAGTGCCTGGTGACCTCAAGGAGGGGCAGGGACAGGGGATGCGGCCAGGGGATGGGGCTGCCCGTGATGACCGATGGACGCCTGCCGCACGGGGTCTCCAGGGTCCATGCAGGCCCTTTCTCTCTGGGGCCCAGAGAGTGCCTGTCAGATGTGTCAGCAAAGACCTGCGTCTTCCTGATAGCCTGCAGGCATTCTGATTCGTTGGGAGATTAACCTACCCTGAAGAAAGACATGTCCCTGAGACCAAGGACACAAAGGCCCCCCATGAACTCACCAGGCCGGGCAGGATGGGGGCCAGCCACATGTGCCTGCCATCGCTGGTGTCATTCACTTGGTCGATGAGCTTGTCGGGGGTCCGGACGTCCCCGCACACGCCCTCCAGGGAGTTCACGCTGTCGGGGAAGGCGGCAATATCTGGGAAGCCTCTAAGCTGTCATAACCCAAAGCAGTGTGTCGGGTGCCGCACGTCACTCTCTCAGCCACCAGCCTCCTCGCGCTGATGGCATGGCTCAAAGGACGTGGGGGCTGTTGGGCAGAACGGCCGTCTGCTATTCCCGGCCGCCGGAAGAGTGACAGCCGCATGAGCCATTCTGGGGAAAATGAGCACCGAGGCTGGTGGTGGGCGGGTGGCCAGCGTCAGGGAGGGGTAGGGGGGTGGCCAGGCAGATAGTCGGCTGGAAAAAGAGCAGTCTCAAGGCAGGAACAAATTTGTGGCTGGCACTCTGGGGAGTAGAGGGCAAACTTCGAAGGTTTTTTTCTTTGGCGAAGGGGCTGAGGGATGGCTGGATACGGCTTTGGCATGGGGGGACCAGACACAGACTGGACCTACTGGGGGAGCCTGACCCCACGGGGAAAGCCTGACCGGCTACTCGAGGGCTGGACATCATCGCGGATCTGGACCAACCAGTCCCAGCTCTGGCTCTGCCTTCCAACCTGTGAGGTCTGGGGCAAGTCACAGAACAACTCAGGGCCTGCTTCCTCATCTGTAAAATGGGTATAAAAACCTCCACGTCCCAGAATGGATGTGAGCAGGCTTGGTGAAAATGAACAAGTCTTGTACCTCTGAGGAGTCACTAATAACCATCAAAAACACCAGGAATCGTTTATCCCAGGCCAGGAGGATGGTGTCACCAGGGGAAGGCAGAAAAGGATCCAGAGGGACCCCAGGGACCCCAGATAGGTACAAGACAGGCTTTGGGTTAGACCTGCTCTGGTGGGACCCTGTGGTGGCTTAGGGATCACAGGGCAAGGGCCCAGAGGGCTCAGGCAGGTGACATCAAAAGAAGAAGCCTGACAGTTCAGTGGTCAGACAATGGTCCGTAGAGCTAAACTCCCAGCTCTATGCTCACATGCTGTGTGACCTTGGGCAGGTTACTTAACATCTCTTAGTTCCTCACGTGTAAAATGGGGATAACAGCACTCACCTTCACAAGCAAATGAGGCACCATGGGACAAGCCCTTACAGTGAGTCCTCAGTAAATATTAGCAATTTGTTTTGGGGGCCTGTTAGAAGACAGTAAGGACATGTTGGGGCAGAAGGGCGGTGGATACTCAGGTCTAGCCATATCACTGTATATGGCTATCACTAATTTCTCAAGAGTAGTTGAAGACTACTCTTCACAGTTTCCTGTGAAACTCCCTGATTTTTAATAAAAAAAATATTAGCAACTAAGCTAAAATATTGAAAAACTCAGTGAGCTAGCAGTTTGCAAAATCTGGTGGGGGTGTTCCATGAACAAATGGGTCCATAGTCAAGAAATTCAGGACACTCTGGGTTGAATACAGTGCCACAGAAGGCTCCCTGCAGGCCTTGCCAGAGCCTTTAGAACTTGCCAAAGTACTTGTAGTTCTCGGGGACAGGGTGCATCTGGTTATCCTCTCCCAAATCCCCAGGCCGCAGGACTCTCTGTCACATGGGACTCCTGCCATGGACACCTTGGCAGGGGCTGGGAGCTGCCCATGGCTCTGCCCACCCTCCCAGGGGTCAGCATCTGACCCGAAGCAGAGCCCACTGGTGTTTTTATCCTAGGGTCTGGCTCCTACAGGGACATTTCCTGTCCTTCTCTGCACCCTCCCATGCACCCTTCTGTTGGGGTAGAGTCCCCATCTGCCTCAAAAGGATACTATTTTCCGACAGAGGGATCTTTTCCCCCCGCTCATCATACAGCTCCAGGCCCGTGAGACCAATATAATAGGGATCACCCCAGCTGGTCAGGAGTTGCAACTGGAAAATGACTAAGGGATGTTATTAAGGAAAAACAGGCTTAATTTTCCAAGAACAAAGCAAAACAGCGACAAAGATAATACAGGGCTATACTTTCGGGGGCTTCTACAGATGAATAAAAGGAAAACATTTTTTCTTTTTTAAACTCTCATGGAGACTGAAGCCCAACAGAATATATGTGGCATCAAACTGTCTTGAATTTAAACTATGTATGTGTGTGTTTTAAGAATTAAAAGCTGTCCTCCAAGCCCGAGAGACAGGAGGACGGGGGCGGGGGGTGGGGAGGGTGATGCTCTCCAGGGAGCTGGCAGGAAGTGAACCATGTGTGTCACAAACTCGTTGTGTGGTGGCACTGAATAAAGTGACCAGGACTCAAACTATCTCCTTCCTCAGTTTCCCTGGTTGTAAAATGACAAGAACAGAGTGCCCATTGCCTTCTCCATCCATTTCAAGTGTGCAGGGTCGGGGTGGGGGGCGTTGAAGGGGAGAAATACAGGAGCTCTGGAGCACCAGGAGGGATGGGCCGTGGCCGCATGAGCCACCATGGCTGACTGCTTCCTGCAGTCCTCAGCCCTGTCCCCCCGCCAGCTCCCAGGATTCCAGGGGCGGGCAGGGCAGGAAAGGTGGCTTCTAGGCATTATCACAGCCACTGGCACTCTGTCCAGGAGACTGGCTGCTAGGAGAGCCAGGATGCTCGTGTTCACTCACCTGCCTGGCCCCTGCCCGGCTCTGTGGCCTTGGACAAGTTCCTTAACCTCTCTGGGCCTCTGTGTTCTCAGCTGTGAAATGGGGATGCTCGCAGCACCACCGCACTGGGCTGGGGGGAAAACTGAGTTACAAATGCACTGTGACCGTGCCAGGCCCAGGAAAGGATCCAGCAAACTGGGGCTATCCTTACTTCTGTGTTCATCTCCTCCCTGGCTTGCTTCCAAGGACAGCCCCCAGTTCAGTCCCTGGGGAGAGCTCCAGCTTCTCTGGCCTCTCCCAGCTGGAGTCCTGGGTGCTGCCTCTGGAAACCTCCATCCAAACCTCAACCAGCTGGCTGACCAGGGGGCGGGGTCTGGAACCATGTCTCCACCCCCCACCCCAGCAGCACTCAGTGAGCGGGAGGCCCTGGGAAGCCTCCCATCCTCCCCTGGGTTTCCTGGCATGGCGCCCTAGCGCCTTGGCCATGGTCTGCTCGGAACCCCAACACCACTACAAGGGCCGAGCGCTCTCCTGGGGTTCTGGGCGCAGACCCCGAGGGCCCGGGATGCACAGACAGGTGGGAGGAGGATACAGCCGCAGGGCATCAGGGGTGCCTCGTAGTCCATGGTCGCCCGCTCCCGGCTTTGCGAGTCAAGCCTAAAAAGACACAAAACAGCACCAGAAAGCAGAAGATCTCAATGGCCTTGATGGCTGGTCAGTTATTCTCCTGGCTGCACACTATATGAGGACGCGGCAGGTGGGGGGGGGGGTTCCCTGGCAGCGGGGACTGACCTTGTCTGTTCTGGAGTTCGCTCTTTACCACCTAGCCCTCTGGCCCTTTCATGAACAGGGCAAGTGCATGCTGTGCCCACAGCTGAGTGAGACCCGTGCAGGGGTGATGGATGGGAGGGAGTGCGGGGCTGGGGCAGACTACCCCAGGGGGTGGTCAGGGAGCCAGCACCTGAGCTAAGAAGGAGGCAGCTACACAAAGCAACAGAGCTGAACCTTCCAAGCAGAGGAGCAGCCAGAGCAAAGGCCCTGTGGTAGGAAAGCACCAAAGGGGCTGGATCATGGGGCAGGATGGGAGGCTGGCAGGAAGAGGAGGCAGGAAGGTGGGGCGTACCCTGCAGTCTTTGCTTTGGGAGCCTGAGCAAGGGCCTTCAGTAGCAGGGACCTCAATGCCTACATCTATAAAATGGGCATAATAACCCCTTCCTCAGAGGGCAGGTGGAAGGATTCCCTGAAGGATGAACGCAAAGCATCTGAACGGATCTAGCACTTGGGAGGAAGAGTTCTCAGCCTCTGCACACCACTCCCTGGGCGCCTCTCTCCCTGGTCCGTGGGCCAGTACCTTCCAGGCCTTGCTGGTTTTTCTTCAATTTCAAGGGCACTGTTATAATTAAGTGGCTGTTCCCAGTGACTGGTCCAAGAAGCGATCCCAGCCATGGTGGAGGGAAACTCATTTTGTTTTGTGAGCTTGGCCTCTGGTGTTTGGACATGGGGGGCGGGGGAGGGGTTTAAATGAATAAACTGAACATGGCATTTACAAATTGTTATAACCTTAATGCAGCTGAGACGGGGCCAAGAAATACCAGCGCACCCACGAAATGTTAGGCTGTCATTTCCTCTTTGAATCTTTCTAAACCAGGAACTCAGGAACAAGAGAGAAGGCCCTTCCCCGAATTGGCCAGTGGGCATTTCTGGAACAGGACACAGGCTGGCGCCTCTTTTCCCAGCAAGAGGTGCAACGAAGCATTAAAAGAGCTGAAGCCCTCCAGACTGTGGGGAACCCAAACATCCCCAGACAAGGTGGGCTCATCCCATGGGCTTCCGCGGACGCCTGACAGAGCCTTAGAAAACCGCCAGGTTGAAAAGCGATGCGTTTGATCATTTCAAAACCTTTAGGTAGCGACTTCAGAGCTACGCGTGAAGCCAGCAGCCGGAGGACGGGGAGGGGACATTCCTGATGCTGCTAGCCCTCACCTCCGGGCCGGCGGGGGCAGCTGGCGAACATGCAGGTAGTCCACAAAGAGAATTTCTTGAGCGAAATCAAAGTGGCAGTTGCCCGGCCCCTTCCGGATGAGGAAGCCCTCTGGAGGGGAGACACACAGGCCATCCAGGGAGATGTGGACGATTTTGGCCTGGCAAACAAAAGGAGAAACACGCTTGAAGAAAGGCAGCCAGCCAGCATGTGGGGCAGTGGCGTGGGCCGATGGGGCTGTGGCGGATGTCCGAGTGTGACGGGGAGCCCTCACGGAGCCCCCAGGCCTGGGACATCCCTTGGTCTGGCTGGCCTTCCTCTCAGACCAGGACCACCTGGCTGGGCCACGCTCCGTGCCAGGCACCAAGCTGTGTGCTGGAGGGATAGCAGGGGAACAGGCAGGTATGGCCCCTGCCATGGTGGCCCAGCTCAGCAGCCTGAGGTGGTACCACCTTTCGAGCCTCCCTCTGCAGAAACCCTGGCTGGGCCATCTAGATTTGCCTTGGGACCTGGTGAGTCACAGGCGCTTACCAAGAGCCTGCCAAATGGGTTCAATCTGGGCCAAGGTCTTCCGCTGGCCTGGGACAGATATCACCAACTAGAGGCCAGGATCTACCAGTAAATCTCAAAGCCTGAATGGCAGGGTCTGGAGTGGCTTCCCTGGGGTGGGGTGGTGGTGGTGGTGGGTGAGCAGAGAGGGCAGGAGGCCAGCACTCTCCCTTTGACAACACATTTTGGAATCGGGACTCCCCACATCTTCACGGTGAGCAACGTGGGCCTGACTGCTGACCAAACTGGTCGATTTTCACCTTTGGGAGACACAGAAGGGCTCCTCTGTGTAGAGAAGAGCCCTGCTCTGGGTCCCACTGATAATGAATGTGCCCCCGAGCCCTTCATTCCTTCAGCATTTTGGGGGCCCTCCTCATGGCAGCCGGTCACAGGACACGTAGGCCTGAAAAGTGTAGGGTAAGCGGCTTCAGGCATGGCTGGATATGGGGACCAAAAGGCTGTTCCTACATCTCTCCACTAGGCTTTGCTCAGGTGGGTTCAGACCCTGGCCCGAGGGCTGGACCCGGACAAACAGAACTGTCACCCGCTGGTCATATGATTGGACCGGGGACAGGGAACTGGACCAGATATCAGCATGACTCCTGTGGTTTCACGGGCTCGCCTCCAAAGAGGAGGTCCTTCTGCAGCTGGGTGTGGAGCTAGCTGGAAGCTGGGCATCACAGCGGAGGCCCGGGAAGGCTCCCCTCCAGGACGACCCCCACCTCTAGGAAGGGCCTGACTTCCCCACGCCTGTTGATTCCCTCGGTCAGGGTTTCTACTACCGCCTCCATCTTGTAGCCATGGAAACCAGAAGTCCAAAGACGCAAAGTAATTTGCCCAAGGACCCGCTGCTGGGATCTGAAGCCCATCTCCAGCGTGCAGGGCCTGGCTCTAACCACATGCCAGGGACCCGTGTCCAGGGCATCCACAGGGCCTTGGGGGACACACGTGCCCGAGGCATTTTCCTGGGGAGATGCAGAGTTTCCATCCCCTGTACTCTGGGATCCTCCCCACCCCCGCCAGACTCTGCCCATCTCCCTGCCTCCTCCTTCCCACTGTGGCCACTTGTCACCCGCTTGCCCACGCAGATGGTGGCCAAGCCTTGGAAGCAGGGCTTTGGGCCCAAGATTTCCAGGCAGCAAATCCAGGTCACGGAGCCTTATCTGGAAGGACCGATTTGCTCAAGGGAAGATATGGGCCCAGAGGCACGAGCTGAGCCCGGAGAATGTTTTCTTAATGCCAATCTATCTGCCTTTCTAAACGTGCTGATCTAAACGTGCTGTCGCACACTCTGGGAGATGCCAGTGCGGCCTAGGAGGATCTGTACAGTCCAAGAGGCTGTCGCCCCAAAGGTGAGCGCCTGGAGCCACCGACTCCACGCTGGCAACCCCCATGGTTCTACGGGGCCCATGGGAGAAATGACGTGGCACAGGCATGGTGGGGAGCCACACCGGGGCTCCCGGGATGGAGGCCTGGCTCTGTTAACGTCCACGTGGCAGGGGAAGATGGCCACCTTCCCAAGGCAGGTTATCATCCTCATTCTCTCACTTTACAGATGGGGAAACGGAGATGCAGGGAAAGCAGGTCACTCGCCAAAGGTCACATGGCTGGCTGGGGTCAGAGCGGGGATTCAGACAAGGGCCTTATGACTTTAGGGCCCCAACGGCATGGCTCTATCTTAGGGGACATTGTCACCATCACTTCTGGGTTGTAGTGGGGAGGGGACAAACATATCATAGTCTGTAGTCACACAAGGACAGAAGGGCCCATGCAAAGGGCACTTCCGGTGTTCTCTTTCCACAGTGTGGCAAGATGCCTGCTTTGTCACACCCAGGAGCGGGAGAACATGGTATGGAACTGGAGTGTGGGCTCCCAGCCCAGCAGATGTGCACTGGGGCTCTCGCTGTGTGATCTTGGGATGGGTGAACGTACTGTTCTGAACCTCAGTTTTTAATCCTCTGAAAGAGAGTATATATCTGCTTCCCGGAAGCTGGGGTGAAGGTCCCCTGAAATGAATGGGTGCAGAGCCCGCAGCTCAGGGCCTGGCCCCCAAAGTGCTCAATGAACAACAGGGCCCCAACCCACCACTACGGTTCAGGGGCTGGGCCTGCTGAGGAACCCCAACCCCCAAAAGAGACAAAGTGCTTTCATGTCCCAAGTCTGCCCTGGGCTCTTGAGCCCACATCTGCTGCTTGCAGGAGGAACAAAGAGCAAGGCGCTCTCTCCCTGGCTGTAACCCCTCAGCTCCATTTGGAAAGTTCTGGAAGATTTATGCGCCTCTCTGGCAGCCACGCCAGCCATTCATCAAGGCGCCGTTTCCCTGACAGTGGACTGAGCGCGGCTGCTATTCCCCAGCTTACCCCGCGATAGGTGTCCTCGGGAGATTTATTGTAGTTCCAGAAGCGCAGGCCAGTGATGCTTTCGGCTCTGTCGAAGCGGATCGTGACCACGTGGTCCAGGCCAGGCGAGAAAGGGATCAGCCACATATGCTCATCCTCCATGGTGATGTTGGCTCCGTCGATTAACCTGCAAATAGCGGGGAGGGAGCAGTGAACTGGGGCCCAGCCACGACCTGCGGGAGAAACCAGAGCGAGGGGTCTACACGCGCTTATGGCCCCCTGCACCCTGCCTGGCACGAGCCTGGACACACTAGGCTTGTTAAGCGGAGGTGGGACTCATGACAGTCACCCGGAGGGGCCATGTCTCATCTGTAAAATCAGACAAAATAAGGTCTTTTAATAGTCGGTGCTGTTAAAAGTGCGGCAAAGCGATCATCAGGTTTAAAATAAAGGGGGAACATGTGTCATCTTTCAGGACCTTCTAACCCGGTGATCTCACTTCTGGAATTGTTTTCCTTTAAGGAATATTTGTTCAACCTGTGGGAAAGGCTCTCTGCACAAAGATATTCATTATAGTGCTGTTTATTTATATTAGCATAAAAGGAAAAAAAAACCCAACGACCAAAAAACCCCCAAGTGGTTAAGTAAAACAAAGGGTTAAGTAAATCTGCACAGTTGTTAATACGATAACCGTGAGGACGATGCAATGAAGTGGAAAACGATTTTACTGCTGGAAGATGAGGACGGGGGCCAGGAGAGATGATGAAGTGAAAAACACATTTGTGTCAGAGGGGATGGGAGGTGGATGCTTTTCTCTACTTTCCAAACTTTCTGTAAGATGCTCTATTGGCTCTATGGTACATTTTGGAAGAATTCGAGTCCTTCCTTCTGGTGCCCTGTGAGAGAGCTGCTAAGGCACTAGAGCGAAGTTGGCAGTTCTTGGTGTGGGAAAAGCACGAGAAGGGGGAGGTGTGTCTGTGGGGAGCTGGTCTGGCCATAATCATGCAGCCTCGACAGCCCAGGGAAGCACCCTCCCTGTCCTTAGGAGGGAGCCCCTAGCACCCTTGTGTTCTTAGCCACTGTTCTGAATGAACTCATCATCTCGCCCGCATTGCACTCCTATCCTGGCCAGTGTCTGGTTTTCCTGTTCTGAACAACCTGCCTCATCCTTCTCAACTTGGCCTGTGTCTGCCCCAAAGCTGTCCCGCCACGGACTGCCCTGAACTGCTCAGCACACCGCAGCCCAGACCCCAGAAACAGAGGGGCCCAGCTCTCAGCCTCTTGGATAACCCTTCCCCCGACTCCCTCCTAATTTCCTGGTGACTTTGAGGCTGCCGTGCCAGGAGGAATTCCTAGATTTAAAAATAAACCTTATTTTTTCTTTTTACATCTTAAAGTTTAGGATTTGGAATAAATCTTACAATCTAAGTGTTCATCCATGGAGGTAATGTTTCTTTTTTTTCTCTAAAAGGCCGTTATTAAATTGATGGATGGTGTGTCTTACAATTGCTGGCATCTTAAAACTGAGGAAATTCAGCAATTTAAAACGGAGGTGTTTGTGGAATTAGGTCCACTGGAGAACCTTCCATTTCCTTCTAAAAGCAATTACCCCTGTGTCCTAGACATGGGGCTGTCTCCGTACCAAAAATGCTACCCAATTCTCAAAGTAGAGAGAGTTGTCGAAGTGTTTATAGTCGATAGTGAAGGGAAGTGCCTACAGACACCGCTAAGAATATCAACATGATACTTCCCAGGTCTGTCCACAGAAAAGCCTAGAAACTGTGACCAATCCAGTAACAATGAGCATCTCTAGGGGCTAGATTATGGTCTCTAAATACCATTTCACACTAAAAGGAACCAAGGCTTCTTGGGGAAAATGGCTGATTCCACCTCTGGGACAAGAAATATACAAAGGGAGCCTGAAATGTCTTGTGACATAAGAAAGCAGGAGAGCTGTCACAGACTACTGTTTTAAAAAAGGATCTGAGCGCTCTCGGTATCTAAAAGCAACTATAAGATAAAAATTGCAATAAATTGAGACCCTTCACAGTCTGTTTAAATCCATAATTTATGGTAACCAAACACAAACGCTTTAAAGTATGCTAGGGAAGCAATTTTTTATTTTTGCAAACTGAGAAGTAAAGGAAAGAACCAAGCATGTAGACTGCCTTTCCTATTTGCACTGTACTGCAGAGTAACCAAATAATTGAAGAAAAATTTCTCTTTATTGGTGAAAAAAAGAATGACAGTCTCAGCGCCCCACCATCTTGCAACCAAGTGGATCTAGCCACTGAGCACTGACCACCAATGTCACAAAAAGCTTCACCACCAGACACTCTATATGTTCTGAAGGGAAGTTGCAGTGACACCCACACCATGTCATGTCTTGCCCCAATGGTCAAAGCCTCAACCTGATCAGATGCCTAGATCTGATGAACAATTTACAAGACATACAGGGGCCTGAGGAACAGGTTAAATAATACCATGGAGATGCAACCAGGAAACTCCAGACTCTATAGGGCAAACAAATATTTCTTTAAGAGATAATTCATAAGAAAAAAATGAAAAAAGATGGAAGGGAACCTGGACGTTATAAAAATCTTAAGAGATCTATCAAAGAATCATAGCATATGGACCTTATCTAGATCTCAAACCGACCAGTCACAATGTATGGACCTTATCTGGACCTCAAACCAACCAATCACAACGTATGGACCTTATCTGGACCTCAAACCAACCAATCACAACGTATGGACCTTATCTGGACCTCAAACCAATCACAATGTACGGACCTTCTCTGGACCTCAAGCCAACCAATCACAATGTCTGGACATTTTCTGGACCTCAAACTAACCAATCACAACGTATGGACCTTATCTGGATCTCAAACCAACCAATCACAACACATGGACCTTATCTGGACCTCAAGCCAATCAATCACAACATAAGGCCTTTTCTGGATCTCAATAAAAGAAACAAACTTAAAAAAGGAAGATGAGAAGAAGGCTTTCAGGGAAATAGGAACATGCTGGGTGTCTACTAATTCAGGGAATCACCATTAATTTTTTTAGTGTAACAACAGTACTGACCTGTTCTCTTTAAAGTCCTTATTGTTTAGAGCTACACACCGAACTGTGTAGAGGTGAAGGGCTATCAGGCTTGGGAGTTGCTGTGCTCACATCATCTGGGTGGAGGGGTTTGGGAAGTGGGTGGGTGTGGTTGAACAAGTGGGGCCGGCTGTGAGCTGACCCAGCGGGCTCCACACCTAAGTATATGGGTGATCTGCTTTTGGGGTGTCGAGTGGTTCATGAGCAGACATGGACAGCAGGTGTGAGGGCCACAGTTAAGGGGCCCGGGATGGGAAAGTAGGAAGGAGTCTACCATTGACGGTAGGCGCTCTGGGTCAGGCTGGGGGTGCAGCTGTGGTGTGGCGATTCCCTCCCTGCCCTCCCTCCAGGGGACTTACTGTCCCCTCCTACTGATAAGGCAAGTGAGGCAGGGGAAGACAGTGGAAGTCAGTGGTTACGTGCACAGGTCTCCCACAGACATCCATTCAGATGACTCTGACCCTCAAAACTAGTCTGGGTGGCTTCTGGCCAGTTTTTAATCTCTCTGTAGCTCGGTTTCATTTGTAACGGGGGTGGTGGCCTCTTAGGGCTGTTTAAGGCATAAACGGATGAGGATCTGTAACCTGCTTAGTGTAGCCCCAGTGTCTGGCATTTATTCGGGGCTCCAGGAATAGCCGCTATAATTTTATTATCATTACTATCGTAGCTGGAGAGGTTAAGAAACTTACTAGCTGGCAAGGGGCAGAGCCAGGATTGGAACTCTCATCCTTCTGACCCCTCCAGGCTCCTCCTGTTTACAACTCCAGGCAGAGCGCAGGCCCAGCAGCTGTCCTGAGCAGGGGGCCAGTGCCTGTCCCAGGTTTGTCTTCTTATTGACTGGCCCCAGTCTGGGCTGATGCAATCAGACAGAAGCGGAGGAAAGCGCCCACAGCACCCACGGACACTTCCAGAGCCATCCCCTCAGACCTCGAGCAATGGCAAGCTTTCAGCCCCCGAGAGTGAGGCTGCTCATGGTCAGGCGCAGAGCTGGCGTTCCAGGCCCTACACTGAGCATGGTGGAGAACACACAAAGCACGGGTGTGTCTGGGAGCAGGAGAACCCTGCCCGCCTCTGGCCGTGGAGCCCTTGGGGGTGGGGGGTCACCTCCCTTTCCCAAGCCTTGGTTTCCCTTGACTCTAAAATGAGAAGTCACAGGGGACACCTGGGGGGGCACAGTCACTAAAGTGTCTGACTCTTGAGCTCAGCTCAGGGGTTGGTCTCAGGGTTGTGAGTTCAAGCCCCGAGTTGGGCTTCACGCTGTGGGATGGAGCCTACTTAAAAACATATCAGTGAACAAAATGGGAAGACCACAGACCTCACGGGGTGGCTGGGGAGGGTGGAATGGGGATCACTATTTGAGATTTGATTCTGGAGTCACAGAGCCTGAGCGAGCCCGCGTCTCAGGGGCTGAAGTGTCCTGCTGCTCACACTGGGAGGGGATGGCTCTGAGGGTGTCTGCAGGTGGCTTCTTACAGACACTTACTTGTCCAGGGTCCGGGAGTCATCGGTGTACTCAGGGAGGTCATTTAGGTCTCTGGGAGAGGCAGAGATCTGGTGCAGGCTGATGGGCAGTGCCTGGCCATCCTTGCCCACCACTTCCAGGCCCGTGAGCCCCAGGTAGTGTGGGTCTCCCCAGGAGGCAGTGAAATTCAGCTGGAGGCCTGTAACAGGAAGAAGAGTGGCCCCTGAACACCAGAGGTTGTGGAGACGGGAAAGGAGTTACCTTCGGCCTCTGCGTTCTACCCTGATTCAGATGAAAGTGCCTTCGGGGCGGGCTCTCTACTTTTTCTCTTGGTGACCCTTGGGCCTGGGACACTGCTGATGTTCTGGAAATGTCTGCAGGACGAATGGGCCAGTGTTGTTTAAACCTGCACATGGGTGGGTGGGGGGTGCCTGGGTGTCTCAGTCCATGAAGCGCCAGTTTTCGTCTCGGGTCATGATCTCAGGGTCCTGGGATCGAGCCCTGCATTGGGCTCCCTGCGGGGAGTCAGCTTCTCCCTCTCCCTCTGCCCCTCTCCCTGCTCATTCTTTTCCCCTCTGTTTCTCTCAGATAAATACAACCTTAAAAAAAACCAAACCTGCACATGGCACTGGATCCTTTCTCCCGCATCTATCACATTGCCCCAACCAGCTGCTTAACACCCTAGCATGGCTCCCTGTGCTGCTTGGCCAGCAGGCCTTGTCCATCTGGCTTCTACCTACTTGTCTAACCTCCTCTTACACTAGGGGGCACGGCTCCACCCAGACAGTCTTTCAGTCATTCCTATTTCCAGCCCTCTCTCCTGTCACAGGGCCTTTGCCCATGCTATGCCCTCTGGAACTCACATGGCCTCGTTGTGCTCACTCTTCAGATCCCAACTCACTTCCTTAGGGAAGCCCTTCTGACTTCTCTGACCACATCAAACCTCCGCCCACAGCCTGCCATCAACTTCCATGCCCTGGTCACCAGTGTGATCTTGTGACCATTTGGTAAATATCCGTTTGCCCCGCCAGAGGCGAACTCCCTGAGGGCAGAAACTCCATCTGATCTGCTAGATCTTTGTGTCCCCAAAGCCTGGCACAGTGCCTGATGCACAGCAGGAGCTCAGTCCAGATGGAATGTTTAAATAAGTAACTGCACGCAGGCAGCTACGTTGATACAGGACGTCAGAAATGGACATTTTATACACTGGGCACTACTGCGAGACTTCCCGGGATTCAGAGTAAGGAAGTGTTTCTACGATGATAACCCCATCTTTTTGCCCTTGCCTCACCCCTGTTCCATCAGAATCCATCTAGAAGTGACCCTCTGTGGTCCTGAGGCAATACGGTCCAGGCGAGTCATCCATTTGCCCAGAGAGCTCAAACCGAATGAAGCCCTTGGTCAGGGCCTGTGCAATACTTGGCTAGAACTTGTCTTTCCTTACTGGCGTCCCATCAGAGCAGGACCAAGCCCACTGAACTCTCCACCCTGGGAGAATTTGGAGCCTCTTTCAGCACCCTCCTGGGTGGTTGTGTTCAGAAGATTCACATCCTTGGCAACTTTCACAGAAGGCCACCTGGAAGTCACGTGGCCCCACCTCCTTGAGCTCAGGAGTGGAGGCAGAAGCCCAGGGAGGCCAAGCCACCCAGTCTTCCTGGAGCTCGGCTTCCTCTCCTATATGCCTGTCATTTCCCACATACGTTTTGTAACTCAGCCTTCTGCTCTCCATGGTGCTGAGGTGGCATGGAGAGCATCCTCGGGGCAGGTGGAAAAGACGTGGCACCAGCATGGTACTGGGCCACATCCTAGCTTCTCACCACAACAACGGCATGCAAAACGACCACAAATTCTTTACAACGTGACTGCCACTTCTCCCATCCAGAAGCGGAGTCCGTATGTCCACGCCCTCACTGAGGCCACCGAGAAGACGCCCTCAGTCTGGGCCACGTGACATGCTTTGGCCAATGGGAGAGCAGCAGAGGTGGCGAGGGCAGAGGATGGAAAGCGTGCAGGTGCACCTCGCCACACTTGGGGGTCCCACCGCATGAAGGAGCCAGGCGTGCCTGGTCTCCCCACCACCTCAGCCAATAGCCTCCCGACCATTGGACACGGGAGAGAAGACACCTGAGGTTATTCAGTCGCTAGCCCAGATGGAGATGCCAGCAGACCAGATCCGTGCACAGGCCCAGGAGGGGCCCAGTCAAGCCAGTGAATTATGAGCCCATCGTGGATTAAACGGCGGCGGGCTGAAGCCGCTCAGGTTTGGGTTGGTTTGGTCTGCGGCAGAAGCTAATCGATACACTCCTTTCCATCCCGAGCCTGCATGCAAACGTCACCTCCTCAGAGAGGCCTTCCCTGACCGCTCCGCTCAAATGGCACCCCCCCCGCTTTAGTTTTCATCACCCCCTTGTCACTACCCCACAATGTATTCTCCATTCCTTTGCCTCCGTGTTTTCTTGTCTTTTCCACTAAGATGGAAGCTCCTTGAGGGAAGGAGCTCTGTTGCCTCCGCGCGCCGCTGTAGCCCTCAGAGCCGAGAACAGTAACTGGAAAATAGATGGTCAATAAGTTTTTTTTTTCTTTTTAAATCAATGACGGATCAAACAGTAGGTATTCAGTAGATGAGCACGGGTAAATGAATCAAAGTAAGATCATGGAGTTTCACCAAATTCATAGTTAACAGTAAGCAAATATTTATTGATCATCTATTATGTACAAAGCCCTGTCCTTGGACCCGGAGATCCCGGGGTCAACACAGAGCAGAATATCTCTGGGAGATATACTGAGAAGACAGTTGGCCCATAATAGACAAAGGATAGTTCCAGAGAGTAACGAATGCCATGAAGACAAGAAGGCATGGGTAGGGAGTGACTGAGGGGAGTAGCTGGGGTGGTCAGGGAGGGCCTCTCTGAGGGGGTAGCATGGGAGCTGAGACCCAAGTGATGAGTAGGAGGCTGCCATTCCTCAGTATTCCTGGAAGAACATTCCAGGCTGAGAGGACGGCAAGGGCACAGGCTCTGGGATGGGAACAAATAACTGAGTGACCAAGGGACGGCAGTGGAGGAAAATGAGGTCGGAAGGGCTGGGTACAGCCTAGATCATGCCATGAAGTCTGGATTTTCTTCTCTCCGTGGTGGGGAGCCTCTGGAGGGTTAGACTTTGAAGAAAGGGGCTGACTCGATCCCCTCACTTGGGTTGGGGGTTGGGCTCTCCGGGGAGACCAGGGAGGAGGCTGTTGTGATACAAGGTACGCTGGACAAGGCGTGGACCTTCTGAAAACGGAGGGAAGTGGCCAGATGCAGGACCTGTTTTGAAGACGGTACCGCCAGGATACTCAGTGGCTTGTACAGAAGTGAGAGAAAGAGACGACGTTTTTGACACAGGAGACAAAGTGGCTGTGGGTACCGATCCCAAGAGGCAGAGTGCACGGAGTTGGAGGAGGGAGTGGATTTGGATGAGGGGATCGCTGGGAGGGAGAAATGTCACCTCCTCCAGGGGGAAAACAGGAGCACCCCCACCCCCCCCACTAGCCCCTCCCCAGCCGCCCCTTTGCTGGCCTGGCACACCGAGCCGCAAGGACATCTAATTTGGGGTTGCTCCAAAAGCACCCGCTCTCCTGTTTGAGCTAATATTCACGTTCCATATTCATTTTCCTCTGGTGTATCAATTAGTATTTATATAAATGGAAATTAATTTTGTTATTTCTCTCCCACGTTTCAACTCTCTCAGCTACTTTCCTATTCATCACTGCTGATATTTGCAAAACGCCCAAAATTAGTGTCATCTGCAAATTAGCAAGTCATATATCCCCTTTCAAAACATTAATAGGATTGGCCATATTTACCAACCCCGGCGCATTCCCCCCGGGTCACGTTATCAAAGTGCTCTCCATTTGCACAGGCTGGTGAAGTGGGTTTAGGAATTTAGAGACATTGCGGGGGGGAGGGCAGGGGAACAAAAAGTTTCAGAGAAGAGCGATTCGGAAATCACATGCCTCCAAAAGTGGAGAGATGCTCCGTCAGGAGGTTCTTCTTAATACTGAGTAGAGAAGCAGAGACACCGCGGGTTCCTTACAGCCAAAAGGGCTATGAGCTCTGCTCCTGGCCAACACTCCCGAAGGGATTGGAATACATTGCTGAGAAAGGTCAGAAGCCGGTTCAGCAGGAAGGACATTTACAGACAGCATCTTTGGGGAAATCATCAGATGAAGGGGACAGTGGCTGCTTCCGGGCCAACCTTCCTTCCTCCCTTTCCTCCCTGGCTGGGGCACTCACACCCCCAGCAAGAGCATGACAGGGGTAGCGGGGGGCGCTGACCCCTCGCCTGGGACTCTGGTGATGGGCTCTGACCCAGGCCTGGCCAATCCGTGTTCAGCATCTCACCTCTGCCCCCACCCCGCCGTGGGGAGTCACGGTGATTGGTTTATGGATGGGCATGTGATCCAAGCCAGGACCGGGAGACCTGATTCCCGACCCACTGTTGGCCTCTGTGGGAACAGAAGTTCTTGAGTGGATGGGGTCCCAACGGGAGGAAAGGTGAGAGAGAGAGTGACACAGGGCAGAGGGTGGGAGGGAGACCCCAAGGCCTGATGACATCATTTGCACCACTGGACGGAATAAGAACTGAGTGGTCGGGGAGATAAGGTAGGGGAAGCCTCAGTATGTGGGAGATGAAACCAAGCCCCAAACTGGGCTCTTGCCTGCTCAAGGCTAGTTCTAGCAATTCTGCGACAGTCTCGGACTCATTGAGAGAAAGTGAGTGTTCTGGAATGTAAGGAGCTGGGAGGCTTCAAAGTAAGGCATCTTCCCTCTTCTAAGAGGGAAACTGTCTTCGTGCAGTGAGGGAGGGAGAGATGGTCCTTCCTACATGGGTGGGCTTCCTGAGGAGGAGGTAGGTGATAGCGAGGCCTCCAGAGGGGGTGTGAAGGATGCTGTGGGCACTGCCCGGGTCCCACGCCCCCCTCTCCAGAACCGAAGGACTCATTCCTCCAGCGGAGCAGAGTGCTGAGGGCTGAGGGCTCACAGGGTGCACTGCCCTTGGCCTTGCCCCTCCTAGGCACAGCCCACATCCCGAGACATGTAGATACAGGCGTAGAAAGGCCTGGGCCCCTCACTCAAGACCTCTCCAAGGGGTCTTTGCAGCTCCAGAGCTGGCAGAGGCCTTGAGGGGACTGCACGAGGCCCAATCCCCCCCTCTGCCCAGCCCACTTGCCACCCTCCCTCAAGAGCACGCCCCAGGGGACTCCAGCTGGTGTGACAGCAAACAGAGGGTTGACAGAGTCTCCTTAACAAGGAGGGGAGGGAGATCAGTGAGCCAGGACCTTGGACCCGAAGATGCCCCAGGACACAGTGCAGGTGCTGGTGGGCCGGTGCACGGAGGGAGGGAGGACCTGGCTGGAAGGGTCAGCAGGGAAAAGAAGAGGGAATGGAATCAGTGAAGCCCAGATGGAGTTTGCTCAGAGGCCACAAACTGGCAGCGGGCTGGCTGAACATACGTGTTTTGTTTGGCTCATAGGGTGTTTTAAAATATTACAAAATTAGTCACCAACACTTAAAAATTTGGAGGTTTCACATAAATATCCAGATTTCTGTCTTCTCAGAAGACCCAGCACCCTGGGCGAGGCTTCCTGCCACCCCCGCCCCACCTGGAACAGGGAAGAGGCCTATTTTCCTTGCGCATGTGCCTGAGTTTGAGTGCCCTTCTGGAAAGGCCTACTGCAGAGAGGCAGCCCTCCTCCGAAGCGATATGGACCTGGCGGGGCCAGTGAACCCAGTCAGGGCTGTGTCAGCCCCCACTCCTCCCACGGCTTGGCATCTCTGTACAATGTACAACCTGCCCAACTGTCCAAGGGAATCCCTGCCCCAAGTGGGCCATGACTCTCCCTGGCCCCTGATGGTCCTCCTGCCCCTGGACACTGTCCCCAGAAAGGATACTCACAGATCCCATGGTAGATGCCTGGCTCTGGTGTGGTTACTTCGGGGGCAGGCGGAAGGGATGGCAGCTCGAGCTCCAGGACCTGTGTGCGGGTTGGGGGAGGAGCAGAGGGAAAGGAGGTGATTTTAGTGATACCTGAACAGCTGGTTGGCCATTCTCCCCAATGCTGTTATGCACTCCGAGCCCCAAGTAACCCGTTGTGTCTTTTCTTGCATTGTCTGCCACTGTGGAAACTCCAGGATGGGTAATACGGGCAGACCCAGAAACCCCCCTTTCTCATCTGAGTCCCCGCCAGCCACTCTTACGGTTAGGGGAGGAGTCTGACACCACCAGCTAAGGTGATCAGATTTTCTGGAACAGGGAAGGACCCAACAGATGCGTACCTAGGGAGCTGGAAGAAGGAGGGAAGGAGAAGGGTCAGGGGAGGGATGGAGGTAAGGAAGGGAGGGGGAAAAATACAACCACAGAGAGTGGTTCTCAACCCAACTGGTGTGGAAGCCAGGATGACGCAGCCCCGATCCAGAGGCAGTCAGCATGGGCAGGCACACTGCACTGTAGACATTTGGCTCATTAGACCTCTACACTGTAAGCGGGGACAAAAGGGCCTTTACTATGTCACAGAGGAGGAAGCTAAGAAGCGAAAGGAAAGGAAGGCGGTTGCCCGGATGTAAGAGTTTTGGTGGAGATGGTGTTTCGGTCCCAGGAACAACAGTGCCCTCAGCCCGGCCCCTGAGGCCCTTCCTTGCCTGGCTGTGGGGAGAAGGGTGAGGAAGGTGGCCTGCCAGGAGGATCCACAATGCAGAGCAACCTCGGGTCACCAGGGAGAGGCCACTGCCTGGCACCCCCGTGCCTTCTCCCAGAGCCTTCGGGATCTCTCCCTGGTGGGTGCACTGAGCTGCGTACCCAGACAGGTGGGATGTAGGTCCAGGCCTGTCACTTCCTCGGGGTGAGCCACTGGCCTCCCAGAGAACATGGGTTCCCTGTCTCAGAGACAGAATGAAGGATTCCTCCCTGTCCCTCACACGCTGGATGCGCTCAGAGATCATTAGAAGCATTTGGAAAGGGCTGGGCACATGAAAGGCTTCAAGGTCAGCTCCCGACTGGACACCCATGGATCCAATCCAGACCACAGACGTGCTGGGGCTCACAGGAGGTTTGAGAGCTTTCCCGCTTAGTTGCCAACAGTTTTTTATTGGGACATTTCCCACAAAAACCCAGATTTCTGGCTTTTCTCAAGAAAAATCAGGACAACTATCAACATGAACTAGCAACTCCTGTGTGTCCTGAGAAGCAGGGAGCTCAGTAACCCCTCAGTCTTGTACAATACCCTGCCTGGCCCCTATGGGCTCTCACCCCTCAGTGAACACCGGGGGACCTGCACCCCAACAGCCTCATGACTTTGCCAGGCCTTGCCTTCTGTCCTTCGGTTTCCAGCTGTCCCCACTCCCCTCCCCCACCCTCTGTAACCATCTCCTCTTTCTCCTTAGGGCCTCAAGGACATCCATGAGGGCCCTGGGTCCCCAGATTCCTGATCCTTCTCTTGGATGGGTCCTTTTCCTAAGGGTCGTCTTTTATTTCTTAAAAAATTGCTTTATTGGGCGCCTGGGTGGTTCAGTTGGTTAAACAACTGCCTTCAGCTCAGGTCATGACCCCAGGGTCCCGCATCAGGCTCCCAGCTCCGCAGGGAGTCTGCTTCTCTCTCTGACCTTCTCCCATCTCGTTCTCTCTCACTCTCTCTCCCAAATAAATATTTTTTAAAAAATTGCTTTATCAAGTTAAAAACACATACTTCAGAGTCATGCATGCAAGTTCTAGCCTGGTTACACACAGCGGGAGCGCTGTGTGTCCTTGGGCAAGTCACTTAACCTGTCTGAGCCTTGGTTTCCTAAATGGGGATACTGATGGTCTCTACCTGCAAGGGTAGTTCACACGAGACAACATGGAGCTCCACCCCTGGATCACCACACGTGTACGGGAAACCAGGGCTGAGATGATCATTATTTTAATTCTAAGCCTGCCTATTCAAAGCGTTTCTAGTCCTCTCCATCAAAAACAACAGCGAGTGATCAAAACACAACCCAAAGCAAAAATTCCCCTGAGACTACCAACCTCTAAATTACAGAGACGACGCAGAACTGATTTCTCCTAGCTTTGATTAAAATTTGAATACTTTCTTCACTTTGCTTTAAAAAAAAAATAAAAAAATAAAACATAATTAGAGAATGAAATATGACATAGAGGACCAAAAAATGAAGTAGAAAAATGGGAAATGTCAAAACAGTAGCACCAACAGCTTAAAGGCTATCCATCTTCATTCCTCCTGCTGCACGCGGAGTCAGGAGGAGAAATCTCTCTGGGGGTGGGCTCCCCTCCCTGCCAGTCCTACCCGGTCCTCAGCCCACGGGCCGGCCTGGGTGTAGGGCCTGTCTTCTCCCTCGCTGCCAGCAGTACTCGGTCTCCTGGGCGTCTCCTCGCTCTGCAGGCTGTAGGGGCTCTCCGGGTCCACGTCAAATGTCTCATCTGAGCAGAATATGGCCTCCAGAATGTCCTCATCGGTTGTGAATAAGATGGTGTCTCCAAAGTGCTCTGGTGCTGGATGGGATACCACGGACACAAGAAGAGTCACCTGGCCCCAAATCCCAGTGGTCTGGACAGCAGGAACCCAGACCCATCAATCTCTGTGCTGTAATCCCCACCCACCAGACAGCTCCTGATTTGTGTTAGGAAGACTTCCTTGTTATTAATCACACACTTGCAAGTGAAATTCACATGCCCGAGGAACCACTTAGACCTAATGAACGGATCTAACGTAACGAGCATCACTGTGATCCGTTGGGAAATGAGAGATGCTTCTTAGGTGTGGGGGAGGCGACTTAGCAGATGCTGTTGGGGCCCCACCCAGGTGCCTGCTGATTCCTTTTTGGGGGCTGGAGGCTTGCCTGGAAGGGCGTGGGAGTTACACCCCCAACCCGGGGAGCCCTGCTGCTCTGGCTTAAGGCAGGACAGATCCTGCAACTTATGCTCCAGAGCTCCCTTTGGGATCAGGGTGAGACTTAGCCTCCCCCAACTACTATCCTTGCCTGGCGTCTCCCAGTTCCTATCCCGTCTCCCTCCATGCACCACAGGCTCTCCTGGGAGCAGCCCCTCAAGAACTCACTGCAGAAGAATTCCCCCTTCTTCGATTCAGGAGCTAGGGAAGCTGAGTAAGGCCGGTGCCCAGGGGAGGGGTGTAAATGAGGTCAGCTCGTGTACCCCCAACGCTGCAAAAAGCGAGGAGTGAGCCAGGCCCAGGAAGAGGAGAGACCCATCTGTCACTGGCTAGTTTCTCCTCAGAGCCTCAGCGGGTAGCAGGTAGGGGCTTCCAGAACATTCTTACGGACATACTCTACCTCCCGTCAGGGTCCCTGAGGCCTTGGCGATTTCTCCTTTAAAGATGCACTGCGCGTCTAACAGCATGGTGATGTCCTTCACGCCACGGAAGGAATGTATCCGAGATTTATTGTAGTTCCAAATCCGGATCAGGGCGACTTGGCAAGGATGCACGAAGTCTATGGAGATGGAGTGGGGCTTGCCCAGGGTGAAAGGGGCCAGCCAGACGTGCATGTCATCCTGGGTTCTGTTCACCCCGTCGATGAGGTTGGTGACCACGCGGGGGTCTTTCCCGTAAGCTGGTAAAACATTGATGTCGGGGGGGGTCCGCACGAATGTTTGCGATCTGCACTGGCTCCCCCTCGGAACTGAATATTTCTATTCCGTTAAGGCCGACATAATGCCTGTCCCCCCACGTCGACTTGATTTCAATGACCAGGCGCCTTCCGTAAGGCAAGACGGGGATTTCGAAGTCACTGCCATCGTCCGTCTCTGCGGAGCTGTCGTCCGGCCCTCTCCTTGGCTCCAGCTTCTCCTCCTTCCCCGGGGGCAGCTGGTCACCGTGGCGGCTGTCCTTCTGCTGCCGCAGAAACTCGTCCAGGATGTCCCCCTGCAGTTCCATGTTGGAGATGCGTCCGCGGTGGGAGCGGTCAAAGGCACTGAGGGAGTCCCAGGACTCGTGCAGCAAATGCTCCTGCTCGCTGCACCACCGGGACCATGGTGGCGTCTTGGTGGACCAGGTGTCTTCTGGAAGAACACAGGACAGGTGAAGCCCCATTAGTGGCCTGTGTGCAAGCAGGGAACCTTTATGGATGGTCCCAACTGGGGGGGCTCTCGGCTAGGTGAGGGTCGCCCTAAGGGGGACATTCTAGAAATCAGGGTGGTTGCTCTTGGTTCTCTCACAATGCCTGGAGGCCCAATGAGCCTTGGACAGGTGGGACCAGGATGTTAATCGTCTGCCCTGGGGACCCTTGGGGCCACCTGTCACATGCCAACATTCAGGTTGGTAAAAAAAAAAAAACAAACAAAACCCATTATGGCTACCCAAGTCTAGAATCTGGTTGTTTTGCCAAAAGCAAAGCAGTTTTCAATATACCTTGGATTTTCTGAGAGGGAGACCCCGCCAGGCCCATGCAAGCCAAGGGCAGACCTTTTTGTTGTCTGAGGACCTTTGCAGGAAGCCATTCTGCACGTCAGAGACTCACAGGACGGGTGGGGGTGGAGGAGGGGTGGAGGGGGCGATGCCTGAGTCAGCAACCAGCAGGGTGGCTCGGAGGCTGTCGCATCATGTGACTCGGACGGGGTTTTCAAAGGCTGTCTAATGGCAGGTGGAACGCTTGTGAAAACGTTGGATGGGAAAAAAGCCCGCTACGTGCTCTCTGGGCTGCGACAGACCCTGGCCCAAGGCTGTGCACGCCGACATGTTAATATGCTCCTCTCTGGGTAGTGGAGAGAAAAGACGTCTAGCTTCTTCTTGGTCCCCTGATCTTCTAAGTTCTCCAGATGTATTATTTTATAATCAGGCGAAAGTGCTATAAGGGACACCGACGACACAGGTCAGAGTGTACCCCTATGTGTGGCTAGGCTGGCTTCGAGAACGGAAGCCTGCGTCCCCAGCACGTGGAGAGTGCAGGCCTGGCCCTCAGAGGGTGGCTCTAAAGGCCACAGTCTCCTCCTTGTAGAACAGCAAAGCCCCAGCGGGCGCCCCCACAGCGGCCTGTCATTACAGCCATGCCATGGCTAACTGCCACGTGAGGGTGTCATTCTGGAAAAACAGCAGCTGATGACACTGACGTTCTGTTTTTCCTCCTTTCATATTGGACTGTGCCCCACACTCCATTTTCCGCCTGTCTCCTGGGGGACCTGGCTCCATCAATTACCCTCTCTCTCCAGAACCCTCCATCACCCCTTCCCCACTGGCACCTTGCCCTCTCTCCACCTACAGACAAGCATAAATCTCTCCTACCAGAAAGAAAAAAGGAAGCTGGGCCTGATCTTGTGGTTTCCTCTAGCTGCACCCGATTTCCTCCCTCCCTTGGCTGCAGCCCCCGTGCCCTCCTCGCTTCCACCCTCCCTCAACACCTGCAACCTGGGGCCCTGTTGTGGAGTTACTGGTTTGGCCCACCCAAGCCCCACCTGCCCTTCTCCTGATCTTCTTTTGAGGATCACACCCCCCCACCACCACCATCCAGATTAAGCAAGTGCTGACAGCATCCTTCCAGGCTGGGAAAGGAATTACAGAGGAGGGGCTCTGTTTAGATTGGCGCCTCCAGGTGGCAGGATGTTGGACGTGGGTGAGCAGTGCAGGTGGTCGATTTGCTATACTTTGCGGGGAGCCTGCCTGACAATGAAGCCAACACAGGGAATGTGGGCCAAGAGATGGAGAGAGAGAGAGTCCTGATGACATCATTTGAGCCCCTGGTTGCAGCCATGCCTGAAGTCAAACCCCTGGCGGCTTTCCATCCCTTGTCTTCCTAAGAGTCCTGTAGTTCCCACAACCCTTCACTGAGCTGACTTTCGGCAAGTCAGTCCTCATGCTTGACATCTCAGGCAAAGCTCTTCCACTAGACAGTCTCTTGTCTGCCGGCTCAGGAGTGTTTGCACTTCTGGGCTCTCTCCATGGCTGCTGCTGCCTGCCTCCCCATGCCGGAGCCCTATCCTGAGCTTCTGCCTGACCCCATCTGGTCCTCTCTCAGTACTACCCTCCCTCTTTGACCTCACCCTGCCAGCTCCTGGTTGCCAGGCAGGCACTGCTCCAATTTCTAGGTCAAGTTCTGGCTTCTCTCTCCTAGCCACCACGTTCCAGTTCCAAAGCCCCCCCCCCCGAAGGTGCAGACAGATCCACTGTGTGCCTGAAAGGGAATTGGTCACCAACTCCTCCAACTGGCTTCCTCTCCATTAGCTGGGAATGAAGAACATCTAGTTCCTCGCCACAAACTCCCCCAACCTGGCCCTCAGTGTGGTCCTTCTGGCTTCTCTAACCTCCCCTCACACCTTCTCCCTAATGATCAGCTCCACTGTGTGGGCCTTTCTGTTCCATGGACACGAGTCTCTTTCCTGCCTAGCCTTGCTGTGCCCTCTGCCAGTTATGCTCTTCTCCTGGATCTCCGAGTGCTGGCCCTTCTTGGCCCCATCCTCCTCGGGGAGGACTTCTTTGTGCCATTCCCTGCTGTGTCCCAGCGCCTGGCATAGAACGTGTGGCACAGACGTGCTTAGTCCAAGTTTGCCAGCCCAGCGATGGACGGCTGGCATCACCATTACACAGTGCCTGGACTGAGGCCCAGGAGCGGAGGGACTCCCCCTCTCCACCTGTCAGCTCTGGTGCACCTGTCTTCTCCCCCCCCCCACCCTCCTTCTCATCTGCCATTAAAAAAGACCCCAGGAGTTCCTTTTCTCCAGGTGTGAGGTTTTAACATCTGGCAGAAGGAACTTCCATATGGATCGTCATGACATCAGTTTATTGGTATCTGATTCGCATCGACTGAAATGAACGGCCTGGGTTGGTCTGTAAGTGAGCGGAGGAGAGTGAACAGACGTCGTCTGTCAGGGACTCAGCCTGTGTGTCTCGGTCTGGGTGGGCGGGACTCTGTTCTCACTCTGTGCCTGCTTTCTGATTTATTCTCCCCGAGATGTATATGTGGGGTTTTGAAAGCAGAGAGGTGCAGGCTTTCTCCTGGACCTCTTGGATGTGAGAGCAGGCTGGGGGTCCACGCTTCCCTCTGTCTGCAGCAGAGCACAGCACTCGCCAGTCCCCAGGAGTCGGGGAGGGGGGGGGGCTGCAGCGATCCAAGCTTTGTCTTGTCTGTGTCAACATTCCTGCCCACTTGGAACGCTTGGAATGGACATCAGAAAGCCACTCCTTTAATCTGCAGTCAACACAGTCTGGGGGAGGGGGAGCCGCCAGTATAAGATGACAGGATTGAAGCCTTAAAACTACCCCTTGGTGGAGGTAAACAGGAACTACAAAGTTCAAAACTCGAACTTGTAAAAATCAACGGCACCACCGAGAGGTATATGCTAATCGTTCCTGAAACGGGATATGAGAATGAAGGTAGGGAGACACAACAGAGCTATGTGTGTTCAACGTGAACAGGCCTCCAGCCGCGGCCAATTGGACAGGGGGCAGACACCTAAACCACCTTGGCCAATCAGCGTCTTCCCTGAGACTTTGGGAGCGAGAGCCATTGGGGGGAAAGGTCACTCTTGGGCTACAGGGCATCTCCTGCCCTGCGCACAGAGCAGAGAAAGCTGATCTCATGAAGAAGAGTGCGGGAAGGAGGCAGAGGCAGAGCCCAGCGGCCCTGGGGAGTGGGCTGGGAGAAGTCTCCTGGGAGCCCACTAGCTTTCTGCTTCTCCCTTCCAATTTTGGGCGATGGGCAGCCACACCTCCGGTCTCTGGAGGTCCTACACTCGAATGGGGCAGGTCCAATTTTATTCACCTCTAGCCAACGGACCCCTGATGCAGACACTTCCAAAATGCAGATGACATTACAATGAGATGCTTTGTTGGACAAAAGGATTTCTGGGCTCTATCATTTGGTGACAACAGGACTCTGGCCCCAGGGAAGAACTCAGGCAGTCACTCATTCTACAAGCATCGTTGGAGGGCTCGGCCGGCGGCTTTCCTGAAGGGCACGGCTGTGGGATTTGGCTCTATGTAATGGGTAATTTAAAATTTCTAAGCAACTTTCCTTTTTAGCATGACTGGCTTAACAAGCATTAAATCTCCAGGGCTCGGTTCTCAATGTGTCATTAAGCCAAGCGGCGAAATGCCTGGAAAGAAATTAAAATGAGACCAAATCTTCTGAATGTGGACAAGTTAGAATAACACCCATCACCTCGAAGGTCCCAGAGGTTCTGCGGGTCTGTTTACCAGGAAGGCTCCAGCTTGCCTGGCTCTCCCCGGTGGGGTGGCTGCGGAAATGGGGTGTCATTGGGTTCAAGGTGTGGATGCTGGAGCAAGATGGCCTGGGTTCAGATCCTGCTCTAACCCTTTCTGGCCACGGGATGTGAGGAAAGTTACTTAAGCCTCACGTTTTCTTTATCGTCAAATGGGGCTGGCATGAGGATGAAATCATTTTGAGTAACGTGCCTGGGTGAAAGCGGAGCTTAACACAAACGTGCCACGCATCCAGCCACCGAAGTTCCTTCTTTACAACACCCCTCCCACGCTGCAGAGGACCCACCTGCCGGGCACCTGGGTCCAGGGGACCCCGATACAGATGAGACATAGTCTCTGCCCTCAAAGAGCTTCTCAGTTTTTCTGCTCTGCTCTCTTCTCTGACACCGGTCTCACGGTGAGTGGGGATGGGCAGCAGAAATGTGTAAGGCTGGGGAGCCTGGAGGCAGAGGGGCGGGGGAGGGGGTGCGCGAAGCTCTGCCTGGAAGGGAGCCCACTGTTTACGTGGAAAGGCGCCCTGAGTCTGAGGGACGTGCCCTACGGGACTTTGGGGGTCTCTGCATGTCTAAGCGTAGACTCTGGCTGAGTGCAGACCATAGAGGTCTGTCTTCTGGACGCTAACAGACTAGATGCTGACCGGATTCACTAGGGAACAGATACAATGGTTTCACAAATACACCAAGAGGCAGAATCAGGGAGTGGGGGGAGGGACGACGATCAAGGGCAGTTAACACCTGCGGCTGGCACTGTGCCAAACGCTGCCCATGTAGACTCTCCTTCTGCCCTCCCAGGAGATGGGTGTGGCTGGCGTCACGTCACAGATCAGGGAACCGAGCCTCGGAGGGATTTCAGAACTCGCCATTGTGTGGGTGGGTGATGGGGAACCAGGACACAGGCCTAGGTGGTTTGCGCTTGCGCAGTGCGGGGTGGGGCGGAGCTCCATTCAGAGGACCTGGGATCTGGGGCTCTCGGGGCACTTCCCACACACCAGCCTCCAGTTGCTATGTGACGCCATCCCCTCATTCATTCCTCGCAACACTGAGGGGCCGGGAGGCGGTTCATTCCCATTATACCGATGAGTGCACCGAGGCTCAGAAAGTGGATGTGCTATGCCCCGCTCTGCAAGTCCCAGCCTAGAAGTAGCAGAGGCTGGATTCAAACGGTCTGACACTCTCCCGGGAGCCAAATCCGAGTGCAAATATTTAGAAACCCAGCCTTTCAGATTCCTCAGATAGAATCTACCGCAAAGTTCACACACCAGGTGAGTCCTCCCAGCAGATTTTTTTTTTTTTTGACCTACATAGTGGTTTAAAAATAATCACAATCTGTCGCCAACACTGAAGAATAACATTGCGCACTTCTGATTTCTCTTTACAAAAGGAGAAGGGAGACCTGGCACATCGGCCTGGCATTGCTGAATGCCAGAAGACATTTTGAGTGGAGTAGCAGCTGCCCGCTTTAGATGGGCTGGCCCTCTCCAGCGCCGTAGACCTCACCACTCCTTATAGTACTACCATTCCCAGGCAAGTGCCAAGGGCTGGTTATCATCACACTCGTGTTACGTTTCTGACGGTATGGTGAGGAATACAGTGAGGTCACTAGAGACCGATGTCTCCATCAGAGGTGGAATAACAAAGCCTAGAGTGGAAAAGCCACATGGTGAGAAAAATGGGCAAAGGGGAAATAACTTGGTGGCAATGACAAATCAAGAAATTTAAGATGCAGAATGTCTTGCCCATTCGGCTCATCACTGCCACCTCCATGGCCCCTGAGACCACGAATTTGTGGTGACTGGTTGAGAAGAACCCCCTAGCTTCACAGATGAAACAAAGGTTTGTGGAGCCAAATGGTATCGTGCCAATCAGAGGCCCGCACTCAGGGACAATGGCACCCCAGGTCTGAAGGCTTCTCGAACTTACCTCTGCCGGTCGGCGGGCCATCGCTGTGACTGCTGACGAGGGTATCCTTCTTCGGGCCCCGCCTCCCACTAGCAGGGTGCTCCCTGCTGGCGGGCTGGTTAAAGATGTCAAAATCATCACAGACTTTGGGGGTCACCTTCTGGGCTTTCTCCCCAGTGAGGACATTCCAGCTGTTTGGCCGCCCTGGCTCACGCCTGGGGCCTTTCTCCCCGACCTTGGCCTCTCTGGGAGCCTCCCCCACAGGGTTGGTGGTGGTGTCTGATCCAATTCCACCTTCCCAGTCCAGCGGTTTCTCAGGACTCAGCCACAGTGGTTTTGACTTCCTGCCTCCCTGCTTCCCGCCCTTCCCTGTGGCAGAAGGTTGCAACCATGATGGGGTTTTCGCTGGAGGCTCAGAGACTTTTCTGCCCATGAGGTTTTCCAGCTGTTGGGCCAGAGAGAGCTCTGGGTCAAGGGGAGGGCATTCCACAGGCGGGCAGAGTGGGGGAGCCCCTGGCGCACCACCCGTCGAAGCTGGGGCTACCGAGCAGCTCGCGCCATCGTCTAACTTGGACAAGCTGTTCTTCGCGCCGTTGGGAGGATTCATTTTTCCACCAAGTAACGTTCCCTGGGAAGGAAGCTTCACATCGGCTACTGCTCCAGCTGGAGGCAAGAGCTCCCCATCTGTGCCAGCCATCTTGCGGGCCTCTCCGCTTTCTCCCGAGGGGGCACCCAGGGCCCTTTCCCTGCTCTCGTCCTGCTCCTGTTTCACGTCAACCGGGAAGCTCTGGTCAGCCGGGGCCTCTCCACCTCCTTTGTCTAATGTGCCATCAAAGATGAGATATTTATTGACGTAAAGCTTCACGTTCTTGGCACCGATGTCAAGATCCTGAAAACACAAGATTGAACAAAATGAAGCGGCATGGCATGAGGCTGACGTATCAAAGTCTGGAAGGAGGGGATCAAAAAGAAACATGTGGGATGCTAGAAACGCGAGCTTTAAAAAAAAAAAAAAAAAAGCAACAACAACTGTAGCGCCCGGGATGTTAAATAAAGCTAGTGTCATTTCTGTGTGAACCCTTCTGTGCTCTATAAATCAAAGGATGCTCACACACGGCCTGATTGCTGCCTTCGCACCGTTACTCCCTGCTGGGACACTGGTAACAGCCTGCTAATTGGTCTGCCTGCTTCCTGTCTCTTGCTGCCTTCAACCTCAACTTCACATTGCCAGAGTTCACTCTCTGCAAGAAGAGAGCTGGCCCGGTCCCTCCCCTTTGTGAAAGGCTTCTTGTTCTTCACTGCCTGTTCTTTAATACATGGTTCCTGGGACCTCTGCCGTTGGGAAAGCCTGATGTGCACGTGAAATGCAGAGCCCCGATTCCATGGGTGTCCTATGTTGGGTGCCCTGAAAGCAGAGCCTGAGGCAAGGGTTGAGTATAGGTTGCTTATTTGGAAGCTGTTCTCAAGAGGGAGTAGGGAGAGTAAGATAGGGCAGGAGAAAACCCCCCAACAGTTTTTGAGCTGGTCCCTGCGGTATACAAATGGGGCTCCATCCCTCTGGGGCACTTGCAGGGACCCAGAGAACGTACCTCTGAAGTGTCCCTCCCAAAGCAGGAGGCCGGGGTGTTTATCCACAGACCACTTCCGCACTGTTGAAGGTTGCCCCGGACGCATGGACTCCCTACCCCACAAGCTAAGGGCCCTACTGGCTTTCGAAGGGCAGAGACCTGGAAGCCCTGGAGGTGGTGCCCTGTGAGCACGCCCAGGGACTGTCCCACCTCAGCTGCGATGGGAGCGGGGCCGAGGGGACGTGGTGTGGCCCTGGACTTGTAACAGGGTCTCCGGATGGTTTTTGGCACATGGAAGGCAGAGAACCTCAGGCCGATGGGATGCATTCCCAAATCCCCACCATGACATACTTACCATAACCTTCACGATAGGATCCCTGGCTTAGGCTTCCCATCCCCTCCTCCCCAAAACCCTTGTGCCCCTACACAGACATTGAATGTTTCCTTGTTCGTGCTTAAAATATCATCAAGCCTCCTCCCGCCACTAACCTGTTTCTCCATTCCCCTTTAGAGCAAAACTCTTTCTTTGAAAACAGCTTGATGGAGAAATAGATTCTGTACTGCATACAGTAAACCGTGCGTATTTCAAGTGTACAGGGTGGTAAGTTTTAACACGTGCATATACACTACAGTGTATCATCTCCACAATCAGGCTAATGAGCACATCTGTCGCCCCCAGAGGTTCCTGGTACCCCTTGGGAATCCCACCCTCCCTGCTTCTGCCGCTCCCAGGTGTGTCCACTTTCCGTCACTACAGATTACTCTGTATTTTCTAGAATTTTTATATAAAAGGAATCCTGCACTGCGTACTCTTCTTGGCCTGAATTCTTTCACTTGGCAGAAGTGAGGTTCACCGTGCTGTGTGATTAAGAGTTTTAGTCCTTCTCATTGCTGAGGAGGGGCCCGTTGTGGGGGCGCCCCCAGATTTGTCTGTTCAACTCTTAAAGTCACTGTCATGGCTGCTCCTCCGCCCTTGTCTCTTGGCCTTGTCTCCATGAGGCTTTTGCCCCCACTTCTATGTGGATCCCTTCTTGGCAAGGGCACCAATTGCCGGCATGGAGAAGCTTCTTTGTTAGTCTGGTACAGTTCGGGTTTACTCCTGTTGTCCTGCTGTAATCACTCATAAAGCCCACTTTCCACCCCCTAGAGTGTCCTGGTTTGGGCCTCAGTAGTGTCTGTGCAGCAGGTTACCCGCCTTCTACAGATTTCTTTCCGGGCTTCCGGGCCCTGTGCTCGCCTGGTTTCCCTCCTGCCTGGTTTCCCTCCTGCCTCCGGCTCTCACGGCTGCAATGCCAGGGGCCTTCCTTTTCCACTGCTTCAGGCTGCCTCAGGGCTCAACCCCAGGCCTCCGGATCTCCCCGCGCCCTTCACTGGGGGGGGGGGGGGGTCTCATCCAGGTCCAAGGCCCTAAATACCATCTTCCTGTTGACGACTCTTGGTTATTTTTATCTCCAACCAAACTCTCCACCAAGCGGTGACAGTGAGACCTGTCTTCTGCGATATCAAACAGATGTCTAAACATTAATGTGCCCCAAACAGGATTCTTTCTTTTTTCTTTTAAGATTTATTTATTTAGGGATGCCTAGGTGGCTCAGTTGGTTAAGCGTCTGCCTTTGGCTCAGGTCATGATCTTGGGGTCCTGGGATCGAGCCTCATGTCGGGCTCCCTGCTCAGCGGGAGTCTGCTTCTCTCCCTCTGCCCCTCCCCTTGCTTGTGCTCTCTCACTCTCAAATAAATAAAATCTTTTAAAAAATGACTTATTTATTTTAGAGAGAGAACATTTGAGCAGGGCGGGGGCAGAGGGAGAAGGAGAGAGAGAATCTCTGGCAGACTCCCTGCTGAGCTTGGAGCCAGATGCGGACCTTGATCCCAGGACCCTAAGATCATGACCTGAGTGAAAATCAAGGGTTAGATGCTTAGCCAACTGCGCCACCCAGGCACCCCATCCCCAAAAGAATTCTTGATCCACTTTTCTCAAACCTGGTCTTTGCCCATCTTAAAAAATGGTCCCACTCTGAAACTGGATGCCCCCACCTTGGAGTCCTCCTTGATTTCTCCGGTTTTCTCACTTAACGAATCTCGTCTGACAGAAGGCCCCAGGGGCTACTTCCAAAACCCCTCCTGAATCTTTGACCTCTTGTCCCTGAATGCGCTGCTGCCTGTCAGCCCCCGGGGTAGGGGTGGGGGTGTGCCCATCTTTCCCCGAGACAATGACCAGAGCGTACTAACTGGCCTCCGCTTCCTCTCTGCACTGTCACTGCGCTCCTGCCCCACACAAACACACTTTATTGTCTACACAGCAGCTAATCTTTTTTTTTTTTTTTTTAAACATATCAGCTCATGGCAGCGCCTGGCTTAAAACCACCCAGCAATCTCCCACGACACTGAGAATAAATTCCAGCTCCCTTCAGCGGCCAGTGAGGCCCATACGATTGGGCTCCTGCTGACCTCTCTGACCTGGGCTCCTGTCACATTCCCCCTCCTGCCCCGACTCCCCACACACCGGTCTGGTCGCTGCTCCATGATCCTGCAAAGCTCTTGGCCACCCTGGGACCTGTACCGGGGCTGGGGAGTTCTGCCCCAGATACCTGCAAGGTTGGCTCCTTCTTGTCTTCCGAGAGATCTTCCTGACCCTATCTGGAGCCCCCAACCCATCCAGTCCCCTCTCTCTCCCATCGCCTCGTTCAATTTCCCTCCCATCTCTGGAATGGTCTTGCTGATGAGCTTTTAGCTTAGATCCTGTCTCCCACACCCAAATCTCAGCCCCCAGACAGTGGAGGCCCTACCAGTCTCGTCCAAGGGCCCAGCAGGTGCCCAGCACATGAATGGCCCTCAACCCTTACTTTGGAACTACAAGAGCATGAATGCTTTGGCTGCCGACCTGTGTTTGACATATGGGCTCTGAGACCCCAGGGTTGTCCACCTCTCCGTATTCCCCATCCTTAGCCTTCCTTCCACTGGGCGAGGAAGCTCTAACTGAATTTCTAGTTCGCCAAGTTACGGCCACTGAGGTTTCTGTCGCAGTTTCCAACAAGAAGCATCAAGCCCGTGCTACACCACAGGAACTCGGCTTCAATCATCCAATTGTGGGATGGCAGGCTACTATTTGCCGACTGTCAGAAAAGTCGATTCTCAAAGCTCGCTTTTACATGTTTATATGGATGTGTTCTCTGCTTAGCGAAGGCGCAGAGCGGGTGCGTGCTGTGAATTAATCAGGAAACAGCTATTCGAGAAGGACAGCGCGGGCAGCGTCAATGACTCGTTCTGCACGATTTCCATCACGGAAACATCTGGCGAGACAGAAACACTCTCATTTCAAGAGGTGATGGGGGTGGTGGGGAGGACTTCCGGTCCGGCGCCGTCAGGAGGTGGGCACCCCGGCTCTCCTAATGAGATGTCTGGCTCCCGAAGTGTGTTTGTCTACATTCCACGGACAGCCTGGGGCACCGCCTGACCTCTAGCCGTCCGCCGCCCAGCTCCCTCCAAGAAGTCTGGCAGAGAGGGGGCAGAAGGAGGGATGCAGGCTGCGGCATGGGGCCCGGCAGGGGGAACCTCAGGGCGTGATGGGGGTCGTGGGGATCCGGAAGGCTTGGGCCCTACCTGATGGTGCTTAAATTATCGGGGATTCCAAGTATTAAAAAAAAAAGTAAAAGGCCGCATCATGTCACCCAGCCTTGGAGCAACTCCGCAAGGTGGGCGGGAGGGCCCATCTTGCAGTGAAGACATTGAGGCTGAGCCTTCCTGGGGGCTGTGTGGCTGGTGTGTGGGGAGCCACTCTGACGGGCATCTCCCTTTGGGGCAAACTAGACCCTGGGAAGGCCTGGCCATGGGCAGAATCACCTGCCCTAGGCGGACCTCCAGCCCCATTTCTAGCTTTCACTAAGTCCCTGTGGACCCGCTCTCTCCTATCCCCATCCTGGCTCCCTCCTCAGACCCGGAGGCGGTGGCTTTGGGCCCTGGGTGTGGAGGATGCACCCTTTCTTCAGCTTGCGGTGAATGGGAGCGTCCTTCCTTGTTCACACCCCGACTTCACTGTCCTTCTTTATAGTTGACGAGGACTCACTATGTTGAGACTGTCATGCATTTGTAATACGACAATATTAATATTATTTCAATCTACGTACTTGAATCGACTTTGCAAGGCCGCTTTCTTCCTTGGCCTGGATGCCGAATGACCTAGCTCTCTTCCCTTCAGCATAGGCAGCACTCGGGGAAGCCCTACTAAAGGCATCCCACACTCTACAGGTTCTGTCTTGATCCAGGGGCTTTGGGCTGACTGGGAGGGGGTTCTCCCAGATGGTAGGTTTATTGGGGGTAGGGG